TGATCCCACATTGACACATTGAATTTCATTTTAAATAACATGCAAAACTAAGAAAGCAAGTTTAGAAATTGGAAAGTAACCCAAACTTTGTAAAAACAGATGGTGATAAAATACAGTTGTCCTAATATTTGGATAATTTAAATACCCTCCATAGTTCAGCCAAGCTAGGGAATTAAGAGAAATAGTTCAACCTATGCCGGATCATTTAGCATTTGGCTTGAAAAGGCATAACTCAGTAAGGAGGTCCCAGCAGATGAGAATGTGATAAGAAAGATTTTCAAAGAAAGAAACATGATCCTGGTGAGCACCACCTAGAATTGAACATGAAATAGTAGAAAGGAGGCCAGAATTTGAGACCTAGCTTAGCCACTTATAGCTCTGTGACCTTGCCTAGGCTACTTAACCTCTCTGACCTTGACTCAATAGTGAAGTTACAAAAATAATAACAATGTCCTTCATGTCTCACAGGGCTCTTTAGCAATTATGTGTGACAGTGGAAGCCAGATAGGACTAGGGTAAGGGCATCAGTGCAAATCTCAGCCCTGCCATGACTCCGGCCAGTTTTAGACCCCTCTAAACTTTGATTTCCTCATCTGCAATATACATATGCTAACACCTGGAATAAATGAGACACAGAGAGTCACGGCATCATGCCTTTCACATTAATAGTGTTCCAGAATCGGTGATTTTTTTTTAACTACTAACATGATTGTTTGCAAACTTACAAAATACATATAAGTGAAAGATTATTGTTATATTTAGCCTGATATGATTTCACTGGGTAACAAGATAAGTATTGAAAGAGAAATACAAGCAAGAAGAAAAGAATGGAGGTGTTACAGCACACTGTCCATCTTTAAAATGAAGAGGTGTGGAGATAAGGATGTATGCAGACTCAAGGTCTCACAAAATCTTACTCACAAAATTAACTCATGCTAGCTTAGGTAACAGATGGTCATATAGATCTTTTTAAAGGCTGAAAAACACTAGCAATGATCAATGGCCTGGTGTCTACTGAGTGACTGTGAGAAACAGTGATAATTCAGATTTTATCTAACATCTCTCCACTGAGAGCCAGAGTAATTGGTATGTTAATAGAATCTGTAAAGACATTCATGGAGCCTCTGGGGAGCCTCTTTAGAGACTAAACCAGGAAGCTCAGAAAATATGCAAAGAGCCTGAATATTTAGTTCCTGCTCTGTACCTTTGGGAACTGAGGATTCAGAGCCCAGCGAGGGACAGAGCAAGTAAGTCACTGCACTGAAACAAGAGAAGGGCCTGGGTCATGGGTAAGTTTCCAACCCAAGGGTAAGAGGAGGTTGTCCAGAGCAGGCAACACCTGCGCAGACTCTGTAAGAATCCTTTGCAGCTAGTATGACAGAGGAGGAGTGGCTGTCTTCTAGGTGGAGGTAGCACCTCCCAAAATGACCCAGAAGCAAAATTGCAAGCCATTTAATTTGGTCATGCTAGGGCAAGGGTGCCCAGCTTCTTCAAGAATGAGGGATCCTTTGAAATGTCAACAAATGTCATGATCTTCCCACATCAGAGCAACTATCTTTTAAAAAATCTCTGTCTTTTAAAAAAGCACATGAGCCAGAAACTGGTAGATCATGCCATAATCCTAGCTACTTGGGTGACTCTGATTGGGAAGGTCATGATTTGAGGCCAGCTCCAGCAAATAGTTTGCGAGACCCTGTCTCTACTAATAGCTAGGTACAGCGGCACACATCTGTCATTCCAGCTATGGCGAAGAGTGTAAAATAGGGGAAAACAATGAAGTCCAGGCCAGCCTGGACAATAAGCAAGACCCAATCTCAAAAATAACCAGAGCAAAAAGGAGTGGAGGCATGGCTCAAGTGAAGGAACACCTACCTAGCAAATGTGAAGCCCTGAGTCCAAACCCCAGTACTGCCAAAAAAGAAAAAAGTACATCATAACCCCTTCTCCCCAAAAATATATTAATAATTTTATAATTTTTAAGTGAACTTGTATTTTATCAATATCAAATGACATTTATGTTGGAAAAAAATCTACTATACTTTTAAATGAACTTTTGTATTTTAATTCCACTGTATACAGCTACTTAACATTTTAATTTGAGAAATATTTACACTATCTATGTAAAAGACCTTTTTTAGCCTGAAATAATCTTTGTGCATGTGTTTATCAATAAACTCCTTACAATAACTCCCAACTCATCCCACATCCACTCCTGAGGTCAGTGGGGTTGGAGCCCAGGGACTGGAGAGATGGCTGGAACCAGCTTCATGGTCCACAGTGAAGTGAAAGGGAAGGAAAATTGCAGTGCAATGACAAGAAGTCACTGTCAGTGAGGTGGCACAGAGATAGGCTCAGAGGAGGATTCTGAATTATAGTGATAGATGGGAGAGGAGAAAGCTGAGCAGACCTGACAAATATTCACAGATAGAGTTGATTTGATTTAGTAACCCTACACATGGCAATGGGGGAGAAGTTTCAGAAGATGTCCAGCTTTCTAGCTCGAGTGACTGGGTAAATGGTGGAACCATCACAGATTTTTTTCTTTTTTTAAAGCAGAGATAATCGGACAGGGTTTAAGGAGACGATTTTGAATTGGACCATGAGACTTTGAAGTCCCCACGGGGCTGCCAAGTGGATATACATAAGTCCAGAAGGATCTAGGCTAGATATATAGCTTAGACACATCGACATGTGGGTAGTAATCAGTCAGATGTGAGTTACAGCACCCAGGGAGATTACATAGTAAGGAGAATCCAAGGACAAACATGGGAATCCCTGCATCTGAGACACAGGTAGAAAACCACATCCAGAATGGAGGCAAACCTGAAGAGAAAAATGGTCACGAGAGCCAAGAGGAGAGGTTTTCAGAAGGGAGCCATGAAAAGCATCAGTTCCATAGAGCAGTCAAATATGATAAGGACCCAAAGTGTATCTGTCCACACAATGAAAAGAATGACAAAAACATTGTCTCTTGCTTACCTGGCTCTTAAAGCTTGCAAAGCACTTTCATATTTTTTTGGCTCATTTCATTACATGTAGCCTATGTAACATTCTTACAGATGCAAAAGCTGTAGGGCAGTGAGGTTAAGGGATTTGCCAAAGCACCTAGGAAGTTAGTGACCTGGCTCCTGGAATTAGAGGTTTCAGCCCAGGGTCTTGACTTTACTCTGGCTCCACTGACACTCCAATTAGCTTTTTAACCAACCAATGAGAAAATCAGAGTGGGGCCTGTTCCAAAATAGCTATTTGTTGTTAGCATAAATTTTTAAAGGATTGATTATCATGCTTTGTTTTGCACTCCCCAGAACCCAAAGAGTTCAGGGCCATCTGAGTCAAAAGGACATTACCTATCCCTTGCTCCTAATTCTGCTTGAAGGTTTGCAAGCAGAGGAATGATACAAATTCAAGTATGTTTTGGAAAGGTTAATTAGTATTCTTGAACTTCTATTTGATCGTGCTTATGTTTGGTTTTTGGAGACTCACATCATCTGAAGCAACATAATGAAAAATACACTATGAAGACACAACCTGCCTGGGGCTTTTCTCGTAACTAAACTCCTCTCTTCCCCCTGTCTCCCGCTCCAATAAGCAGGCTATCCTCACAAAGAAACAGCAAAAGCTTCCTGACATTTGGAAGCAAAAGTTCCTTGAATATTTGATGAGGTCAGTTCTCCCACCCCCCACACTTCCAGAGGCAAGCCTGTGTACTCATCCAGGAAGTCTCCTGCTTGCTCGTTCATTCCTCAATCATTCCAGCAAGAGGAGGACTGCTACCTCTAGCCTGTCAGATCTGGACCCAGCCCAAACATCCATGTGGAGCTCTTCTCTGACTAGCTCTCCGTTGGGAACAATTTACAACACACTTATCTCTGGGAATTCACTGCTCTATTGAGTATAGATCTGATTATCTCTCTCTAAACCTGTCAATCATTCATAGCACAGAAGGAATACAAAACAAAGGCCTCTTTATCAATCTATGACATTTTACTCTCCTTACACCTCAAATTACATCATTGTAATGTTATCAACTTGGAGGTTGGGCAAGGCCCAAAGACAATCATCATTATGCAATGCTAATTTTCTGAGGGTGACTCATGACCTTATTTCCAGGGGGTGGCTTGATTCTGGCCTTTTCTACTGACCCATAAAACAGCTTTCATCTGAGTACAAATCACCTGGATTCTGTACCATAGGCCAATGATAGGTGACATTTCCCTTCCATCCAGCCTAACTGTTTCTCTGTCCTCTATCTCTGTTTGCTATGGGTTTGGTTACCCCTCTCTTGGCTGAAAATGTCTAGTTATACAAAACGAATGAAAGCAAGAAGGGTGGGTGAATTGTGATCAGAAATACCTACTTCACCATCTACTATGTTATGTTGCTAAAATGGAAACATCTGTTAAATATTGAATATGAAACTCACTGTTAGATTTGAAAAAGTAGACTTGTTAGATATGTCTCTGTCCCCTCTTCAGAATAACCCTAGACAGGTTACATGATGCCAGGTCTCTAATCTGTCAAATAAATCAATGAAAGATGCAAGTAAATGAAAGACTTCTGAAATCATCTTAAACCTATGCATCATTCCACAAGAGAAAACTCTTTAGGTAGAAAAGTCAAGCTGAGCTGCAATTATGATTTTTAAAAACAGCATCAAACATTTCCAGTTTCTATGTCAGTCTTTCTACTGATCTAAACTACACACCTATAGAGCTGATTCTTTGGGTTCAAAGCCTGTATCCTGGCCCTGTAGGCTGTATAACCTTGGGCAAGTCACTTAGCTACTCAGGGTAAAATAATCCTCAGAGGGCTGGCATGATGTTTGTTGGGCTATGACAGTAAGGCACATAGGTCAGCACCTGGGCAGAGCCAGTGTCAAGAAGTGCTAACTAGGCATACATCAGACAGATGCAGGCAAGCCAGGGCCAGCTGGGCTTTGTTGCCTTGGCACCTGGAGAATGCTTTAATGAACCCCAAACTGGTTTTTCCCCCCACTGTAGGTCAGTGCAGCTGAATGGCCAGCCCTTAGTGATGGTGGACGACGGGACCCTCCCAGAATTGAAGCCTCGCCCCCTGCGGGCCGGCCGGACATTGGTCATCCCTCCAGTCACCATGGGCTTTTATGTGGTTAAGAATGTCAACGCTTTGGCCTGCCGCTACCGATAAGTCACCCTCCACTCACAAGCCACTGGCGAGCCTGCCGGACTGCCCTCTACTCTTCCACCCTAATGGTACCCTTGTTCTGCAGACATCTTAGCACCAGCCTCTGCTTCCCCATCCTGCTGGAGTCAACATAGACTTTCTCTCCAAAGAGGCTGAATGTCATAGTGTGAGCTTAGCCTAGGTAGGTCCCTAAGGAAAATGTAGGACATCAGCTGTACCTGTATAGGATAAAAAGTATGTGTCTAGAGCTGTATGTGTCCATTTACGTGCACCATGAAAACAGGCTGACAGCACATGCTCCCCACCGTCCCGGTCACACAGCAGTGTAACTGCAAACCCCACACCTTAGCCCGGTGTTGCTGCTCTCCACAGAAGAGGAAAGAGAAACCTGGGAGGACCTGCAAGAACCCAATCTTCTAACTCCCTCTCCTTTGTCTGTTTCCTGCTGCTGCCCTGGGTTTCCTGACACCTCTCTTCCCATAGGGGAGCAAATGGGTGAGTCAGCTCTGGCCTGCTGGGTGAGCTGTTTATGTAATTTCCTGGCTGATGTATGAGTGTGTGCATCTGGGTTTCTGACAGTGGCATCCATCACAGCTATTCCTCTGGACGCGGGTGCTTCAAAAGTAGAATTACAATCATACTCCAGATTTTTTAAGAAGGTTCTATTCCTCTGTGAATCCAGATTCCCTGAGGCTTCGAATGGGAGTCAGGTAACAATATTCATTGAGTGGAGAGCAATGTATTAGGCACCACAAAAAAGCAATCATCATCCTTCATGTTGCCAGAAGGAAGAGAGTTGTAGTACAAAGAGTAAGCACATGAAAACACCAAGTGCACACACACACACAAAAACACACACACACACACACACCAACTAAGGGCTTGAGGCTGACCAAAAGCATTTAGAAGAAGGAGTGAATCAAAGGTCATCACTTTGAATCTAACCTTTCTGCCTCTTCCTATGTAGCAGAGCCTCTCATTTATTAGGCAGAAATCCAATCTGTCATTAAAGATGACCGGGTTCATCCAATCCCAGACCAGCTTATGTGAGCATAAAACGGAGCTTTCAGTTAGCCCTACTGGGAAACAACGGGGAATCTGGAGACAGACTGGTAGATGGGAATCTTCTGAGAGTGGAATGATTTAAGGTTCAGGACAAGGACCTTTCTATGATTCAAGAGGGAGGAGGGTCTTTGCAAATAAGCTATAACTGCAATGACTTTCTTGTCTGTGATGTGATTGTTCTTCACAGGATAAATGACATGAATGATTTTACTTGCAAAGGAGGAGATACTTAACTATGCTGGGTTCCACAACCTTGTTGTTATGAAAGAACAGAACTGAGGAAAGGGGTTAGAGTTGCTGAAGACAGCCACCAGGGAAGATGCTCAAGGACAGAGGATTTGGGCCAAGTCTGCAAAGTGAGAGGCATGATGGGAGGAAGTTAGGCAAGGCGGTAAAGGATTCTCAGCTTGGAGAACTGGGAATTTGAGAGAGGAACACCAACTAGCTAATTTTATGTATAAGAACGGTGGGTTTGGCATACTTATTAGATACAGAGGAGCAGCATGCAGTTGTGTCCTAAAGAGCGCAAGAAAAAGGGAGACCGAAGCTGGGCTGGACCTGGTCAGTGGCTGTGCTCAGCATGAAAGCATCTGAAGAGAGCGGAGTAGCCCCCAAGGTTTCCCCCTCCCAGCAAGGTTTCCCAGAGGGTGTTCCTTTTCAGGAACTAGGCTCCTCCTGCGGAAGCTTCAGCTATAAGAGGACAGGAGAGAGAAGTGCCATCACCAGAGATAAGAAGGAGGGGAAAAGAAGAGACAAGTAGACAGGCCAAGGTGAGGAAAAATGCAGAAAAGAGAAAGGAAACAAAAGATTGTTTCTCAAACTTGGTACAGATGCCAAAGCTTTGTCTCTATACTAGCACAGGTACAGCTGTAGGACCCTGAGAGTACCAGAGGCAGCCAGGTTCTGGACTAGTTTGCTTTTCGTACATACAAGATCCACGATTGAGTTACTGTTGTCATCCCACTTTTTTTTCCTGTGAGTCATGGAGAGGGTCTTTAGCATGCCCAAGGGAATGGGTTGCTGGTTGAGGAATAATCCAGAAACTGCCAAACTTAACCACTAAGAGCAGTGGCTACCCCAAGTCACAGACTCACCCCTTTACGCCCTGGAAGGCTGCTCACTCAGCACAGTCAGAACTTCCAGAGCTCCATTTAAAACACACTTTCTGTAAATAAGTGTTGATTCTTCACTAAGCCTTATAGAATATAGGTAAGTCCTGCTTCTTTTGTCTTTGTGTATTAAATGCTACACCTAAGAGGCTTAAGTTTTGTTTATTTTTAGTTAATAAAAGGAGAAGAGGGAAGCACTGAAATTTATCTTTGAAGTCTTGCAGTTCTAACTTCACAACTATCTCATGGAAGTATTTACATTGCTCAAAGGACACCAAAACACCCACTATAACCTCACACCCCATAGCAATTTTAGCATAGGGAATCTTCCCTGATGCCCTTTGGGGGAGGGGGTGCAGGGGGGAGGATAGAAGCAGTTACTAAACCAGTGGGGATTGCTTTTTGTAGGGATTCACCTGTCACATTCACCCCAAAAGACAGCCTGTGGCAAACAAAGCATCAGAACCCAGAGAAGGGGAACAGTTGGCTCAGCTGGCCAGAGAAGAAAGAGCAAAGAGCTCATCCAGGTCAGTTTTCCTTCCTCACACAGCCAAAACATCTGAGACTTAAGCACTGCTTTATTTTAAACCAAAGAATGGGCTCGTGGAGATGCTTATTGAAAGAGTAATAACACATAATAAGAAGTCTGTGCCTTTTGTTGAGATGGTTTTCTATTCCTCTTGTCTCTAGGAATGATTTTCTTTCTCATTTCTTATCACAAAGGCTCAGAATAAATTCTCATTGTTATTTGGAGAGAAAGTCTCCATTCTTCTAGTTCCCTGACAAAAGCTGCCACTGTGGAATATTAGCATTATCTCTGGCTGGAGAAAGGCTGGAACATACCACAACTAGACTATTAAGAGTCTAAGGCCTTGGACTCTCAGAGCCACAATTCCTTCTGCAGTTCCAGTCTCCCCCTACCCCCACCCCCAAAGCATTTGGGCAACCCCCAAGCAGGTGGGCCCAGACCCCTGCACTCTCAGGCAGGTTAGAGGTGGCCAATGGGCTCTACTTGAAGGTCCTCCATCCACTCCCAGCACCACTGAGTAGCTGCAAGCAGTGGGGTCAGCCAGGCCAGCATCTGCAGGTGTGCCCCATATGAGCTCAGGCCCCCATGTCTGGAATGGATCAGACTGCAGGCTTCACCTTGGAAATCCATTGAAAGTGGCTTTCTTTCTGAAAATAAAAGGTCAATGTTTAATCTTTACAGAAGCAACAGCAAACTAGGTAGATCCCTGTGATAATTAAAAAAAAAAAAAAACCCACCAGGACAGGGAAGGACTTTAATGTATTGGAATACCAACAGAGCAAACAAAAATAATAGCTATATGTATGTTCTGAGAAGGCAAGGGAAGGTAGGGCATACATACTTATCTATCACATCTTCCTCCACATCCATCTCTCTCCAGCCTCAGCTCCACTGACCCCATCTGGACACTGCTGATTGCTCCTTCCCACTAACTTACTCTCCGGTTCCACAGCCTGCCCTCTGCCAATCACTCTAGCTCCAACAGGGAGTCCAGGGAAATCCGCTGTACTGAGGTAGAGCAAACCTTCAATTTTAGGATTGCTTGCACTCTTTTCTTAGGATGTACAAGAATCTAAAAGAAGATTGCAAAAAGCACTCCAAACAGAAACAATGCTAAGATGAAGAATTTTATCCTTATTAGAAGGCTCAAACAGCTGAAGCACTTAGACTATGCCTTCTCTAAGTTCCAATAACAATGACATGAATGTTTGTGTAACTGCCCTCCAGGCTTCTCATCAAACATCTTATTTAATCCTCGAGGCTGTTCTAAGTGGTGCAGTGAATGTTAGACCCTATTACAGATGGGGAAGATTAGAAAGGGAACCTGTCTACAGCCTTCCAGACAAAACAGAATGGCAGAACTGGAATATGGACCAAGGTCCATTAAATTCCAAATTTTCTGATTACACTGTGTTACCTTTCATCTGACTGACAGTATCCACCATACCTGCACCCACCACACAATTTCTGGTTTGAGGAAGCCAACTAGCAACTCTGATGAGTATAAGTAGGGCTGTGACAGCTGAGGCTGTCACTGGCCCACCAGTGACCTCTGTTCTGCTTCTCTATGTTTTTAGAATAATCTAAGGCCCACTCCCACCACCATAGTGATGATTTCGGTACTTCTAGGTTCTAGAAGTTAAGGGGAAACGCCAACCAGTACCTCTCCCCTTCATGGCCACTCAGAGATTTGGAAGTCTCTTCATCTTCACTTACCAAACAACAAATCCACAAGCCATCATCCTAGAGGTAGTTTTCATAAGTATCCACTCCAAAATGAGAAAGTAAAAATACAACAAACCAACTGCATCCTTCCGTCCATACCCCAGAGCAGCCCCGGCAGCTCCCTGCAGGAAGCACTTGGAAGGAGCTGATAAAGTTCCATAAGACTGAATCAGTCTGCAGTCCGTGAGCCAGCAGAGAGGCCCTTCTCACAGCCCACATCAGGAAGTATTATTAAGCCCATGTCTTTTAATTATTGTTCAGGAAAATGTCCTAGGGTTCAAGTTGTAAATGTTGTATAATAAATTATATTTTTGGAAGAAGCAAAAAGAAACTTTAGTTTTATTTATCTGGAAGTTGGCAAAATGAATTCAGGAATACCTCCCAGGAAAAGTTTTGTCTCTGAGAAGGGGATTTTTGCAGGTGTTAATGTTTCCTTTCAGAAAACAGATTAGATTATGATTTACATGAACTTGGTAATTGCAGAGAATTTGGACCCATGAGATAGTTTATATTTCAAGGTAATATTTTGTAAATAATACAATATGACTACTCTAACTTTCTGCTCTCAGAGTGTTCTGTGGGGAGAGGGAGGCAACTGTTGTCCACACTACACCTTGACCTTAATGTTGATTGCTTGATGAATCAATACTTGCTAAGGATCTTTGATTTTGTGGTGTGTTATCCTCCTCTTTTCCCCACAATCTTTGCTTCAACTCTTCTAAGGAGAAATTAAATTTTATAATTCAATCTAGATGTCCTTGATTATGTTGGTAACTGTTAACAAGGTAATGGGTAAACCCCAGAGTTTCAACAGCTTAACACAATTGCAGTTTATTTCTTGCTCATAAATCATATAAAGCTCAGTTGGTGGTAATGGGGAAGGGGCCATATAATCACTTAGGGATTTAGATGGATCTAGATCTAGACACTCTGCCATCTTTGACACTTTCCTCCAAGGCTGCTGTGGGCATCAACATGCAACAAGGAGACAATAAGAGAAAATGAGTGGGTTGCAATGGGAATAGCTAGGAGCCTAAACTGGATCTGTAAATAAATCCCTTCCATGCAATTCCATTGGCCAGAAATCAGTCACGTGGGTCCACCTCTATACTATGGGTCTGAATGAAGTCTTTAGCTGGGTAGCCACTTTCCAACCACAACAACATTTCATAGGAGCACAACACTGATGGATGCTGGGAGGCTGAAGAATGAATCAATGTCTAGGTCTGTTGACATCAAGTGACTTCTAGAAACAGTTTGTATGTAGTGATATCTAAATCCACAGGACTATCAGCACATTCCTAACGTCCTGAAAAGATCTTTCTTTTCCATCTCTCACATGCTTTTAAGTCCTGTCTCTCCTCTACTTACCTGGCTGAATTTTATCAGAAAACCATCTCTGTCACTCAATGCTATCCTGTTAGGATGCACCTAGTACTTAATGTTGCGCCCTCTACTGGACATGTCAAAAACTATCTAAACCTCAAATAGCAAAGGGGATTAAAGGGTCACTGGAGAATCAGAGGCCACAACTCCAAAACAAATGAGCACGTACACCCCACTATCACAGCAATGCTATCCTGCTAGCCTGTCCACCTCAGAAGAAAAGTCCCTCGGCCTTTCTGGACCTCATTGTCCTCATTTGTAAAATAAGGACTTTGGATTAAGTGAACTCAAGGTCACCTGAGCCTCCCTGTTGTCCAGTTCTAGGTCAGATGATCCCTGCTTGGGCTGCAGATGTTTTTCTATTTCCTCCTCCGTGTTTGTATCTATATGTTATATATAAAGTAAGTCACTGTATAAAAATGAAAAGAAAGCTGCAGAATGGCAAAAAAAAAAGAAAAACATATCTGACAAAGGATCTTGTATCCAAATACATAAATTCTTTAAAAAGGAAAGAATCCTATGTTTAAAGTGGGCAAAAGATTCAAACACGTTACTGGGGAAGAGATACATGTGACACATAAGCACATGAAAAGACGTCAGTGTCATTAAGCATTAGGAAAATGGGTAAAAGCACAGTGAGACCAGCTAACGGTAAAATGGGTGACACAGGGCCTCAGAGACTCAGAGCAACTGAAACTCCCAGTGTTGCCGGGGGAGAGGGCAGAGCCACTTTGAAAAATGGTTCTACAGCTGAGTATAAATTTAAGCAGAGACTTACCATATAGCGCAGTAATTCCACTCCTACACACTTACCCAAATGAAATAAAATCTTAAACAGAACTACTCATACCCATTAGGAGGGCTATTGTAAAAATAAGAAAACAGAAAATGAGTGTTGAGTATGTGGAGAAATGTGATCCTCTGTGCACTGTTGATGGGGATGTAAAATGATGCTACTGCTGAGGAAAATGGCATGGAGGGTCCTCAAAAACCTAAAAATACAACCACTGTAACACAGGCCTCAAAGAGATACTGGTATACCCATGTTCACAATATGACTAGATGAACAAAATGTGATATACACATACAATGAATACGACTTAGGTTTTGAAAGAGATATTCTGACATGTGCAACAAGAATGAACTTTGAGGATATTACACATAATGAAATAAGCCAGTCACAAAAAGACAAATAGTGCGTGTGTTCACTTATATCAGGTACTTAGTCAAGATCACAGACACAGAAAGATGCAGAGTGGTTGCCTAGGGCTAGGGAGAGGAGGAAATGGGAAATTTATTTTAATAAATTTTTGGTGGTACTTGAGTTTTGAACTCAGGGCTTCCTGAGTTCAAAGAGATACTGGTATACCCATGTTCACAATATGACTAGATGAACAAAATGTGATATACACATACAATGAATACGACTTAGGTTTTGAAAGAGATATTCTGACATGTGCAACAAGAATGAACTTTGAGGATATTACACATAATGAAATAAGCCAGTCACAAAAAGACAAATAGTGCGTGTGTTCACTTATATCAGGTACTTAGTCAAGATCACAGACACAGAAAGATGCAGAGTGGTTGCCTAGGGCTAGGGAGAGGAGGAAATGGGAAATTTATTTTAATAAATTTTTGGTGGTACTTGAGTTTTGAACTCAGGGCTTCCTGGCCAGGGAATGGGGAATTATTGTTTAATGGGTACAGGGTTCCAATTTTACAAGAGGAAAAGAGTATGCAGACAGACAGACGGTGGTGATGGTTACACATTATGGGTTTATTCAATACCACTGAACTGTACACTTAAAAATGGTTAAAATGGGGCTGTGGGAGTGGCTCAAGTGGTAGAGAGCCTACCTAGCAAGTGTGAGGCCCTGAATTCAAACCCTAGTACTGTAAGGAAAAAAAAATGGTTAAGATGTAAAATTTTGTTATATGTGTATTTTACCACAACAAGGAAAATGGAATTTATGTTGACACAAAAATCTCTTAAGTATCTAAAAACAGATCATACTGGATTACATCAAAATTTAACTCTTTGGTGCTGCAAATGACACCATTAAGAAAGTGGAAGAAGTCTTGTGTGGTGGCTCAGGCTAGTAATCCTTGCTTGAGAAGCAGCGATCAGGAAGTTCTCTGTTTAAGGTCATCATCTGCAAAAAGTTCCAGAGACCCACCCGCCCCCCTGCCCCCCCATCTCAAGCAATAAAAACTGGGCATGGAGGCTCAAACCTGTCATCCCAGCTCAGTGGGAAACATAAATAGAAAGACTGGAGTCCAGACTGTCCTGGACATAAACGTGAGACCGCTCTCAAAAACAACCAAAGCAAAAAGGAATGGGGGGAGGGGGCTCAAGTAGTAGAGTGCCAAGCAAGACCACCAAAAAAGAAGGAAAAGAAAAGAGAGAGAAGAAAAGCCATATAATGGGGGGGAAAAAAAACCTTTTACAAGTCATATATCTATTAAGAGACTTACTCATAGAACATAAAGAATTCTTACAACCCAATAATAAAATGCAATTTAAAAATGGATAAAGGACTTGAATAGATACTTTACCAAAGAAGATGTACAAATGGCCAAAAAAAAAAAAAATCACATGAAGAAATACTGGTATCATTAGTCATTAGGGAAAAGCAAGTCAAATTCACAAGACACCACTCCACACTCACTAGGAAGGCTGTAATTTTAAAAAGTGAACAGTAAAAAGTATTCAAGGTAACAAAGAAACATGGTGAGTGAACAGAGCAGGATAAGGAGTGTACAGACAGGCAGCTCTTGAGAGAGAGAGCCAGTGGTAGCTGGAGGACTCCGCTACAGCCCCCTCCTCATGCAGGCTGGGAGGGGAGGTGGGTAGTGAAGCCCGCCTGGCTGGGAGAGGAGGGGTGATGTTTTCTTTGATAGAACCAAATCTGGAGGTGATGGAGGTATTCACTCTTGGTCTCTGCCTTTCCCCCAAAGGACTCCCAATCTGCTTGCACCCCCTTACTGCTGGGCTGGACTCAATGCTCCCTGGTGGCACCAAGACACAGAAAGGTGTTTTGGCTGGGAATTGAGTCTCTTCCATGGTCTACATCAGCTCCCCTCACCCTTTCAACCTCCCAAATATACATAAAACTTAAGTTGCAAACACAGGTTCAAGACAAAAGCCCTATAATGTGCACCCCACAGCCAAAATGGATTGAGAACCTTTGTAAAGAAATTCCAGCATTGGCACCCTGGGCACTTGGCTCTTCTGCAGGCTGTCCCCTCCCCAGGAGGTCAGGGACCGAAGTCACAAAGGGGCAGCTCTCACCCCCAGCCAGATTTGGGGTTCTGGCAAAACCAAAGGTAGAAAAGGCCCCAGCCAGAGCCAGGAAATCTGGGTGGTTTCTAGTTTGGTTCCTCAAGCAAGTTAGTTCACTGTGAGCCTTTAGTTTCCCCTTCTGTAAAAATTGGGCCAAAATGGGCGGTCTGAGTGCCCTGGGGGGCGCAAAGGTAAGTGAGAGGGCCTAGCACAGTGCGGGAAATGCAGCAGGTGCCTCTGGCGCTGCGGGCTTCGGTCCCCTTTACAGTCAGGAGGAAGGTGGCGGGGCATAGCAGGACCCACATCTAGTGTGGCAGGAAGAGCCGGGGCACTCGTGCAGCGGCCGGCGCCAGGCAGGGGCGGGGCTCGAACTTGCGGAGCGGTCACATGCGCGGTCACGTGGACCACCCGGAACTATCCGGCCAGCTCGCAGCAGGCTGGATGTTGTGAACTACGATCCGGTACGTGGGTATCGCGGCCGTGTGAACGCCGCCCTTCCTTGCCCCACTCTTGTGGGGCGCAGCCCTCCCGGGAATGAAGGAAGCCTTGGGGTCCCCAGGTGCAAGCCCAAGACTCACCTACCCGGGGGCGGTTGCCATAAGCCAGGCCTCCTTCCCTGGTCGCTATGAGGTTCGAGGGGGACCTGAGGATTTGGGGTAACGCCGCTATGTAAAGTGGACTGCCGTACAGACAGGGAGGTTGCCACTGGGCTCGGGCCGCGCGGCTGCTGACGTGCTCTGCGGGCCTCACGGTCCCCAGCAGGCTGGCTCCGAGGCGGGGCCCTGGGACCGAGCTGCTGGAAGACAGGACAGGCCATAGGGGCAGTTTGCTGGGGAGGGGAGGAGCACCGGGATCCAGATGGTGAAAGAGGGTACTGGGGAGCTCCCAAGTTGGCCCCGCGCCATCTGGAGCTCTCTTTGCTAGAGGAGAACCCGGAAATCACAAAGTGAGCTTTGGGGAAGAAAAAGTTAAAAACTTAATGCCCACTGAAAAGCATGCAGGTTTTCAGGATTGTGGCCTCTGCTGCTGTAGCCAGTCTCAGAGTTCAGTTGCTAAAGATACTGAGCCCCAAGAGCCCTTCCTCTTTGCTAGGATCTCTTGCCTTCAGTGTTTGTTTTCCTATTAAGCTTCAGACTCTTTGTGGAGTTTATGGAAATAAGAAAGATCAGGGGACAAGTTTAGTTTGTCCTGTTATTTGAAGAAGGGAAGCTGGGATATAAGAATAATAATGCCTTTCCCGCCTCCGTTTATGTAGAAAGCTGTTTGCTAAGCTTAGGTAGCAGCTTGGCTGCTTGCTCTGAGGCAGAATAGAGATAAATTCCCTCCTTTCCCAGTGTGAGGTTAAGAAAAGTTCAAGTGACCTGGCAAAGGTAGTACTAGAACCAGGTCTCCGATGCCTTTTCTGTTAATTTGCCGTTTATGGCATCCTCCCAGGATACCTACTTTTTTCCCTTCTTGTGAGACTGCTTCACACCAGCCTGGGACGAGGTGTGCTGTGCTGTCTCCTGTCAGACACAGCAAGCTCCTTGGGACGGCTCAGGGCCAGTTTGCTGACCACACCTTGCCTGAAGGACTCACAGTGCGATGAGCTGTCTGGAGGAAACAGAGGAGGTGGGAACTAAAGTGTGTGAGCACCTGTTCTGCACAAAAGGCCCTGCTGGTTGGGTTCATGGTTTCCCTGGTTGGCGGGGGGAATCAGGGAAGACTTGTGACCTCTCAGCCCCTCCCCAGTTGTCCCCTCTCGGCATTGGGGGCCAGAGGTTCTGCATGCCCTCATGCTCTCTCTGTCTTAAGCATTTGCAGGAGCCAGGATGCTGTGCTGTTGTACCCTGAGCTGATCACTGAGTCTGGCTCCCTGGAAGCCCTGCTGTGCTTTTTGCCAAGGTAGATGATTTTCCCTTCCTAGGACAGATGGGAAGGTGGGCAGCACCCACTCTGCAGCTATGGGAAACAGACAAAATAAAGTGATCAGTGGACTAAGCCCTCCTGGTGCCACCTCTGCTTTATCCTCTGCATCCAGGTGTCATCAAGGCCCTAAAGGGCTCCCCTGCTGACAACCATAGCCTCCATCCATATAGCTCAGACTCTGCTGAGGTTGACTCCACAAACCTCCAACTTTGTCACACTTACCTGGAAGTCCTAGAGTGGCGCTTCTGGGCCTTCCACCCATTCCCAGCAACCTCTTCTGCATACCTCTTTCCTCCCCTAGTCTCTGGCGTGGTATCTGGCAAGCCTGTGGAATAGGCCATGCTCCCCACAGTACTCTGTAAAGGCCTTAGGGCCTGTGCTCTGTGTTCTAGTTGATAAGCCCTCTGAAGCTTTGGGAGGAACTCAATGAGAACCACTCAGCAGGTCCAATAGGGGATTCTGGAGAACGTGCCTGAGATGCTGTGAGCCCCCTGGGAAGCTGGACACCCTCCTGTGCAAGAGTTAGAGCAGAACTTTCTAGTTGTTATCATGGCTTAGCATGTGCAGAGTGCACTAAGGTCCACGAGGCCTCTCTGGCTGCAGGCAGCTGGCCCGGAGCTCTGACCACACCAGTGTTGGTCATCCTGCCCTAAGGGTTGAGAGAATCAATGTCTCACAGCACCCTGGGGCTAGGCCACAGTGTGGGGAGCTCTGTGCCAACAGAGTTGGTGAATAATAAAACCTAGTTCCCATACTCGGGCATTAAAATGTGTGGCACAGAGGGTACAAGTGTGGGTGATAGGGAATGGGGTTCAGAAGGGGTCAAGACAGTAATGGGCGTGGCTGAAGAAGCTACAGCTGAACACATTTGAGTAGGAACTGTGGCCAGGGTCCTCAGGCAAACTGTCACCAACAGCAGGAACTTCTGAATGAAGTGTCTAGTGTTGAAATAAACTCCTCATGGGCTTTGAGGCTCCACTTGTGAGCCATTTTATAGAAGGGAAAGCCATGTCTGGGCTGCTCAGAGCTGCAGGTACCCTGGCTGCCTCCACTCCAGACCTGGCACCGATGATCTGCTGCAAGCAGCGTGGCCCCCTTGGGCATCCGCTCTGTGTCCATGCAAAGAACTGGGTCAAGTCGGTTCCAGTAGCCCTGTGATGGGCCTGACACTATAAGGAGAGGGTTTCCTGGATACAACAGGAAAGAGCCCCAGCCTGGGCATCAGACAACTCTATCATATCAGGTTGTGCCTGTGTCCTGCTCTGTAAAAGTTACTGAAGGTGAACTTCGTTAGGGTGCAGAGAAATAACCAGGAAAGCCCTTGTTTGGTGGCTAGCATGCAACAGGGGTGAGGATCCTCTTTGTTCCTTGGGCTGAGCTCATGAATATGGGAGCTAGGAGTGACCTTGGCCTTTTCCCTGGCAGATGAAGTGTGTTTTGGTGGCCACTAAAAGTGCAGAGGTCCTCTTCTACTGGACAGATGAGGAGTTTGAAGAGAATCTCCGGCTAAAGTTTGGGCCATCAGAAAATGAGGAAGAGGAGGTGAGTGCATCGGAGGCCATCCGGAGGGAATAATGTAAAATTACTAAAAGGCAAGGAGGTGGGGGGGGTTGTGGTTTTGGTTCTTTGAGACAGTGGTCTCATTATGTAGCCCAGGATGGCCTCAAACTCATGACCTCCTGCCTCTGCCTCCCAAGTGCTTGGAGCACAGGGATGTGCCACCACTCCTGGTTTAGTTTTAAGTTTTGTATTAGGCCTAAAGATCCACTTTGAACTTTTGAATATGGTGAGAAATATGGATTGAAGTTATTTTCCTTTTGCACAGGGACATTCAGTTTGCTACTTTACTATTACGTAGAAATAGTTGTCATTTTCACTTGTAATTTCCACTCTACATTCTAAAAGAGTAATTTATTTTGAATTTTTTTTCTAGATCATTTTCTGTTAAAATTTTTTATTAGGAAGATTTAGTAAGGGGAATTAGGTGTTTCAAAATCATCAAAAGAGTTAAATTATTTTAAAATTAGGGATGCAGTAATGGGAGTTCTTGCATTTCCACCACAGTACAGGCTAGCTGCCTCATGTTCTTCCTGCTGTAATGTGCCTAACCCTCAGCTGAACCTGCTCCCCTTCATCAGTTAATTCACTGTCACCATCACTAATATAAGAGAAAACAAGCTATCTAAGATCATAGATATTCAAGTGATTTTATTTAAGCTAAAAATCAGGTCTATCACTTGAGCACTTTTATTTTTTAGCAGTCAGTACATCTAATTTTTAAATTAAGAATTTGTAGTAAGTATTTCAGTTCTAAAATTACTGATTCAACTAGGGTAATTTAAAAAGCAGTTCAAGGCTGGCCCAAGTTAATAGCACAAGACCCTGTCTGAAAAATAACTAAAGCAGAAAGAACTGGCGGTGTGGCTCAAGTGGTAGCACACCTTCCTATTAAGCTCAAGGCCCTGAGTTCAAACCCCCATACTGCCAAAGGCAGGGAAAAAAGAGGAAGAAGCAAACTATTTGGCTGCCTTTGCTGTCCTCTTTATTAAGCTGCAGGCAAGACCCCACTGAACAATGAACAGACACTTAAACAATGAAATAGTTTCTGCCCAGTACTGAGGGGGTGGGGGGGTGAGGGAGGGGGCAGGGGGGAGAAATGACCCAAGCCTTGTATACACATATGAATAATAAAACAAACAAAAAAAAAAGACCCTATCTCAAAAAAACCCACCAAAAAAAGGGCTGGTGGAGCAGCTCAAGGTGCAGACCCTGAGTTCAAATCCCAGTACCATACAAGTCAAACTCAAGTGTCTTATGCCTCTAAAAAAAAAAAAAAAAAAACAATGAAAGACAGGAATGTGAAGCAGGTCATGTTCAGGAGAGGGTTGCAGGGGGAGGGGAGGGTAAAGGAGGGTGAATGTGGTCAGTGTACTTTCTATACATGTATGGATATGAAGCACTGAAACCTGCCAAAGTCATTTTAAGAAAGGGGGAAGGAAGGAGAATAACAGAGGGGATAAACCTAATTGGGGTACATTGTACACATATATGGAAATGTCACAATTAGTATAACTATTATATACTAATAAAAATATTTTTTAAAAAAACAGCTTAGATTTAAAAAAAAAAGGTATAGGAATAAACTCCTGACTTTTTTGGCTCTGAAATAACTAGGATAAAGGGGAAAAAGTCTTTGAAGATTTATTTATTGAAAGCTTTGGAGTCTATTCCCATTTCCTGTGTAGGGAGCAGGGAAGTGGAGGGAGGACAAAGGGGAGGAAAGCAAGGCAAATCAGGGAGAAAAGAGCACCCCCTCCCTCACGCAGAGAGGCTCTTGAAGTTGTACTTTTGATATATGCCACACTCACTTTTCTGTAATCACATAAATAACATAAGGTAATTGTAGGAAATTTGGAAATGCAGAGAAAGAGTTTTTAAGAGACTCATAATTCCACTACCCAGAGCTATTAGTTCTTTAGTGTACTTGCTTTGGGTCTTCATCTTTTATATAGTGGGGATCACACCATATTTACAGCTTTATTTCCTGATTTTTCAGTTACCATTCTATGAAAATCATTCCTCCATTTTGTTAAACATTCTCAAAAGCGTAATTCTTAATGGCATTGTTACATTCGAGTTTATTAATAAATGTGCCATCCTTTAACCATTTCCCTAATACTGGACAGATAATATTGCTTCTAGTTAGCTATCACTATTGCTCTAGGGAACATTTGTGCTTGAATTTTAGCCCTCATAATTATTTGATATTATAATTATTCCTAAAAATAGAACTGAGTCAAAAGCCATTCAAAGATAGATAATTTCACCAGGAAATATGTAAGAAGGCCCCTTTATACTCTTCATATACCAAACACTGTCGTCATCTACCCCACCAGAAGATTCTCACTCTGCTTGCAGAAAAGACTACTACTTTAACCTGAGTTGCTGTACAAAATCTAGATTTTTAAAGTAACTTTTCAATTAATAGAATTTGTGACCATTCAAGGAAACCATAGAACATTCCACAAGCATTGGCTCTTGCCTGTGTGGGGGATATTCATTTGACAGACACTAACCAAGAACCTCTTATGCACTGGTCTCTGAGGGTAAAGCTCTGAGCACAGCATTGTGACCCTGTTCTTGTGAAACTTAGAGTCCAAGGAGGGACAATGTACTGTGACCCCATTGGCAAGTAAAATCCCTGAGCTCAGCCACAACACATGGGCTGGAGACCATGGGATGGGAGTGGTTGGGAAATGAGCCTTCTGAGCTGGGGCAAGAATAATAGAACCACTATGAGAGCAGGACTGACAGACTGACCGCAGGGCTGGACACAGACCCGGCTTCCTGAGCGTGGAGAATGTTGGCAAGAGCACGTGCGCTGCTCTGCTGTGTCCCTCTCATGTTCTTAACCAACCAGCTGGTTCTCTCTTCAAGCCAAGGGCTTACTCAGCTCCTTGTGGATTTCACCAGCTCCCAACATGGACTCAGTTTCCCCATGTTCCATTCGAGTCTCCTGCAACTAGTCTGGGAAGATCAGCTGTGGTCTCCTCTCTTTCCACTCCATTATGAGAGTTGGAATTGTAGCTGTTCACAGCTTTCTCCCGTGTCTGCTCTCACAGGTTCTCAGTGCTTTTGCACAGCTCCCTTTTGTTTTTGCTTAGTTATTCCTTCTTTTGGAGTGCAGCAAGAATGGATGGGGGGAAAGTATCAAAGTCAATGCATGCTTGTTACAAAAAATAGGGAAAGTACAGAAACAAAAATAGAGAAGTGTACTCATAAATCTTCTGTCTAGAATTAATAATTTGAACAATGTTGGCTTTCTTAATATTTTTCAATACTTTGTTCTATGCTTTTTTTTTTTTTTTTTTGGCAGTACTGGGTTTTGAACTCACGGCCTTACACTTGCTAGGCAGGTGCTCTACCACTTAAGCCACACCCTCTGCCCTTTTTTTGCTTTCATTTTTCAGATAGGGTCTTGCATTGTTGCCTGGGCTGGCCTTGGACCTTTCAGTAGCTGGGATTACAGAGGCATGTCACCACACCTGGCTTGTTGGTTGAGATAGGAGTATCTCTGTCATTTTGCCCAGACTGGCCTTGATCTTCTAGCCTCCTGACCCCCACTTCCCAAGTAGCTGAAATTACAGGTGTGCAAGCAACATCATGCTTATTCTATGCATTCTCAAATACAGAATGTTCACTTACTTTATGCATATTTTTAAAAAGAAACATTGTGTCAGAGAAATTTCCCATAGCACTAAAGCACTAATGTTTTAAGGAGCTATATAGATTCTTCTATTACTTAGATGTACTGGGGTTTTCATTTTCTTTAGTATTGTTTTTTGGGCAGTACTAGGCTTTGAACTAGCACTTGCTAGGGAGGCCCTTTACCACTTGAGCCACACCACCAGCCCCTACATGTACTGTTATTTACTTATTTAATTATTTCCATGGCGTAGGACATTTACACTTTTTCCAGTTACTTGAAACTATACCTTTTGCTGTCATAAACATCTTTGTGTACATATCTTTATTTCCATCTCTGATCATTTTCTTCAGGATCAATTCCCCCAAAGAAGTCTGTGCCAATGAACAACATGGTCTGTATAGCAGAATTCCTTAGAATTAGCAAATTCTTATTAATTGCCCCCGGCATTCCTTCCAAATTCAGGACCCGAGCCACACAGTTACCAGCCTGAACTCTGCCTTCCTCGCCATCACCCAACGGTGGGGGCAGTCTCCCAGGCAGGTGTAACACCATGGAGCCCTTGCTGTGAAATCCAGCACCTGACACATACTAAGCAGTGCTGTTTTCTCCCCTCTTGCAGCTCCCTGCGCTGGAGGACCAGCTGAGCACTCTCCTGGCCCCAATCATCATCTCTTCTGTGACCATGCTGGAGAAGCTGTCAGACACATACACTTGCTTCTCCACAGAAAATAACAACCACTTGTATGTCCTTCACTTGGTAAGTATGTGGTCCTATGGCCCTGTCCTCTTCCCTCTGCTCCATCGAGAGTTCACAGCTTCTCCCATGTAGCCTCATTAGGAAGGCAGAAACTGTATCCTGTCAGAATCCCCTTGGGGCCTGGGCCTCTCTTCACTTGTTTGCCAAGATAAGGGCAGGTGATAGGAGTGTCCTGAGAGCTGGCTGACACCACATGGCTGTACCTACAGTTTGGAGAATGCCTGTTCATTGCCATCAATGGAGACCACACCGAGAGCGAAGGGGACCTTCGGCGGAAGCTATGCGTGCTCAAGTACCTGTTCGAGGTGCACTTCGGGCTGGTTACTGTGGACAGCCAGCTCATCCGAAAGGAGTAAGTCCTTGCAGCTGGTCCCCTCTGTGTCCTCTGCTAAGCACTCTCACAGGGCCAGAAGAATATGCCCGTCTTTCATGAAGAGTTCTGCTGTTCTTCACTCCTCCCTGAATGGATCTCTGGGTCAGACACAAGGAGCTCAGAAGAACCTTGAAGACCATCTGGTCTGACCCTCTTGTTTTACATATGGGGAAACTGAGGGCAGAAACCTAGCCAGAGCTAACCCGGTTATTGGTGGCAGCATCCAGCCTAGAACTCTCAACTCCACACTCCTAGCTTACTTCCTCACCATCAGTGGTTTATCTTTTCCAACCTGGCCTGAGCTTAACCTCTCTGGATCCTCAAAGAAGCTTTCACCTCTCCCTCCAAATAAATGTGTACTTGTGCACATCTGTGTGTCCGAGAGGTGAGGCCCCAAAGCCTGCTTCTGGGCCTGCAGGAAAAGAGCTCAGTGAATGAGAATGGTGGTTCAGAGTGCATGAAGGTAGGAAGGGCACCAGGAAAGAGTGGACCCAAATGAGAGAGGTTCAGAGTGGATCACCCCTGCTTTTCCATCATGGATTGGGAAATCAGAGTTTGAAACCCTGGATCACTTGAGTTTTGAAGTCAAGTGACCAAGTGCCCATATTGAGGTGATTGCTACATCCACAGGCACCATTGCATGGGTTGTTTTAGCCCTGGTGGTCACAATGTTGGCACAGGATGCAGGCCATGAATGCCTGTGTCACAGCCATGGTTGCAGTGCAGATCTGATCATCATTCGAGAGCCACACCCCTGATAATAGACCAGACTGTCTGTTTTTAGGGGCCTGTGTAGGGGCATAAGAAAAGACACCTTCCTGATTCCTCCTAGCTGTCTTTCATACCTCTGTGTGAAAAAGACCTAGGAGCAAAGTCATTTGCTCAGGGGACTGACTCCTGATTCCCTGCCCTTGCCACACCATTCAGCAGCCAGGGCTTTGCCAAAAACACCCTGTCTGTGCTCTGTGGGCCCTTCCAGTTAGGTAGGTCTCTGGTGCTAACCTGAGGCAGGGCCCTTGGGTTGACTAGAGATGACTGACTTTTTCACAGTCCCTACACCCCTACACCGACTCTGCCCCGTAGGCTGCGACCCCCTGACCTGGAGCGGCGTGTCCGGGTGTGGGAGTACTTCCAGGGCCTGCTGAGGACCTACAGCCGCCTGCGGGAGCAAGAACAGAGCTTCGCTGTAGAGGTGACTTAAGGAGCATGGGAGGCTTTGGGGCATCGAGTCAGAGAGCTGTAAGACCATGTTTTGACCCTGATGAGTAAGGGACAGGCCAACCCTGAAGGCCAAGCGCTTTTCCACTGTTCTTTCTGGCCACATGGTGAGCTGGTACTTTAATGGGCCTTCCCATAGCAGATATTTGGATTCTGGGCAGAAGAGATTTTTCAGTGCAGCTTTGGAGCTCATTGTAAATTACAGGAATCTGCCTCTTCATACTGCTCCCCCCAAATAAAAACGTAATTGGGCTAAAACTAGAGGGGAAAACAGTGAACAAAAGTGGCATTTATCGCAGGATACCTGTACAAATGATACAAACAAAACAAGCAAACAGCCGTCAGCCAGCAGCACCAGCATGAGCTGAACCTGCCCCTCCTAGGTTAAGCCCAGGCCCATGTAGTCAAGGGGGCTTTGGACTGTAACTCTCCCTGGCTCTTTTGGAGGCAAACACAGACTCTTTCTCAGCAGTGGATCTCACACTCACTGCACATCCAAATCATCTGGAGGGCTGTTACATACAGGTTGCTGGGCCTCACCCTCGGTTTTCCATTCACTGGATCCTGGCATTAGGGCCTAGGTGATGCTGAGTGAGCTGATCTAAGAACCACACTTTGAAAACCACTCCATTAGAGGACATTGTAAAGCAGAAGTGAGTTCATAGTTAAAGAAGGTCAGATGCACAAGAAAGTAAGTCACCATGAGTGAGAGTCGGGGGAAGTCAAGGAATCAATTACCAACATATTTAGATCCTGAGGCACTTGATTTATTAGAATTATTAGGTATAGAGTATAAAATAACTGAAATATTTAAAGACATAAAAGATCGTATCACAAAAATGAACAAATAGAAAAAGACTCAAAAATGACCAGGTAGATTTGGAAAAGAACTCATGTAGATATTTTAGAAATAAAAGCATAATTGATAAGGTGAAAACTCAAGAGATGGGTTAAATAGCACACAAGATGTAGCTAAAGAGAGAATTAATGAACTTGGAAATGGATCTGAAGGAATTTGCTCGCTCGCCCCTACTTTCTCTTCCAATAAATGTGTAGTAAATACCTGCTGTACACTAGGATGTGAACTTGGACTAATGCATAAAAACACACTCCCTGCCCTGGAGAAGAAATTAGCCATACAGCTAGACTAAAAGTACAAGAAAACATTCTGGCTGCCATACTAGGTTCCTCATCAAAATTCATGGTGGCAAAAGATAGAGTGGTCGTCTCTTTCTGGGACATTAGAAAGGCTTCTGAAGGAGGTGACCTGATGCAGTTGAGATTCAGACTCGCTTCCCCTCTCCCCCAGCCCACCAAGTCCTGAATGCTCCCTTGCTACTTCTCTTGTCCTCACTCATGCCATGGTGACCGGGCCTTCCAATCTCAGGAATCCTGTGCCAGTACACCACTCACTAGTTGCATTTGACCTTTGAACACTTGAGATTTGACTAGTCCAGATGGAATTCTGCTGTACGTGTAAAAACATCCAATTAATAATACTTTTGGATTATATACTAGTAGTATTTTAGAGAAACTGGGTAAAATAAAACATAAAGTTGATTTTACTTGTTTCTTTTTTTTACCATAAAATGTTTTCATTCATGGGACTCGTCTTCTGTTTCAGTTGGAGAGCACCGCTCTAACTCTCCACACCTCAGGGCCTTTGCATTCACTCCTTCCTTGGCTTGCCGTGTTCTCCCTCTTCCTCTTTCTCTGGCAGACTTTCCAGTTCCTTAGATACCAGTTTCAAAGTCACCTCCTCAGGGACATTTCTTTGAGCACACTGCCCAGGTAGGACTCTGCTCTTACTCTCTAGTCTCGTCCCATGTGTTTCCTACTCTGCACCTTTGTGGTTGGCACTGATTTTTATCTGTTTCCTTGTGTATCATTGCCTTATCCCCTAGAGCTGTGACCAGACCCAAAGCCCCTGTACCTGCATTAGTCTGTCTACTCTCCAGCACCTGGTGTCTAGTGTGAGCTCCATTTGGGCTACAAGAGTGTGCCCAGCACCCCAGAGCCTGGAGCAGGAGGGTAGTGGCTAATGTGCTTCTTCCCCTGCCCACCCCTGGCCAGGCTGTGGAACGACTGATTCACCCCCAGCTCTGCGAGTTGTGCATAGAGACCCTGGAGCGGCACGTTGTCCAGGCTGTCAACTCCAGCTCGGAGCGGGGTGGCGAGGAGGCCCTGCATGCTTTCCTGCTTGTGCATTCCAAGTTGCTGGCTTTCTACTCCAGGTGAGCCTTAGGGCCAGTGTGGTTGCGTCCTGCCCTCACCCTTCTTATTCCCTCTACCTGAAAAGCTTGGCGTCCTGGACAAGAAACCCTTCCAGACCCATCTCTTATTTCGAAGCCCTCCGAACCCAGTCATTTCTATGAGTTATTTCAACTGAGCTCTTCTTAGAGTCTGCACTGAGGAGAGAGAACCTCCTTTTATACTGTTACTGGTCCCTGAAACTTTCCCAATAGTAATTCTTTTTACACAAACAGGTTTTATCTTAAAAACTGATCAGTTTATTTTTTGTAAACCTTGTGTATCTCCAGGAGAGATTAAGTCACAAGCTAATGAGCTGCCTGCTCCTATCTCTACAGCCATGGCACCAGCTCCCTGCGCCCTGCTGACCTCCTGGCTCTCATCCTCCTGGTTCAGGACCTCCACCCCTGCCAGAGCACAGCAGACGAGGAGGACAATGATGCCCAGGTCTTGGGGGCAGTGAGAGATCATCAGCAAATGGCTCAGGAAACCTGCCTAGAGAGTGGCAGGTGCTCCCCAGGTCACATCTGGGCATGAGGTTGCATATGGCGTTTTTCCTGCTGCTTCAGCTGGAAGGGAGTTCTGGAATGCACGGGAGCTGGGGGGCTTAAAAGTGAAGATTTGTGGAATCAAGTTTTGAAACACAGCTTCTCACTTAGTTGTATGAGCCGATCCAGTGCTTGCCCCCTCTGAGCCTCGCACCCTTATCTGTAAAACGGGTGTGATGGTGTTGTCCTTACAGGGGTGTTACAAGGGTTAAAGGAAACAGGTCACCTAAGACCCAACAGTGCCTGGGCACAATGCGCACTCAGCCAGTGTCAGCCTCCCCATGAACATTGTGGTTGTCACTGATGGTAGTGTTGTGCTGGTCTGGATACTGATGTGTTGGTTTTCTGGAATTTCAGTGGTTCTGGAGAATTTAAACATCCCTGGAAAGTCTAGGGACCTTACACCCAGGTAGCATGTGGGAGCAGGGTGGAGAGATGCATGACTTCTCTGTGAAGTGCTGGGGAATGGATGGAGAGGGACTGAGTTGGATGTGCGCTAATGAGTGTCTCCCCCACCCTTTCACAGCCTTCCCCAAGGAGAACACCCCAGAGCAGCGAGAACATCCCTGTGCAGCAGGCCTGGAGTCTGTGTACTGTGGGCCCCTCTGGAGGGAGTTCTGCAGAGACGGTGTGTGGCGGTCCCTGCGTGAAGGAGAGGAGGGCTGCAGCTGAGCTAGCTGGGAGAGGCTCATTTTCTTGACCGTTGGTCTGGGTTCTGAGCCATGCTCTTCTCCTCCAGGACACTGATAGCTTCTCCCTCCCTGAGGAGTACTTCACACCAGCTCCTTCCCCTGCTGAAAGGAGCTCAGGTGAGACCTGGGGGTGGAGTCATAATGGTCAAAAGTAGCAAATGCCAACCCAGTGCCCTGGGAGTCTGTCCTAGGGTCAGTGGGCCCCATGCATTGTAAGGGCCCAAGTGTGGATCCTCAGATTCCTAGGGAGCAGGATGCTGGCTGTAACCCCCTCACTTCCCTGACAGCCCCAGCTTGAATTCAAGGACTGCTAAGACCACTCAAATGACCCCCAAAGCTTTTCATGACAAGTTTATTTCATTCAAAAATTCACCTGCAGATGTACTCTTAGCCTCAACTTTCTTCTTCATAATTAATAATTAAGTCATTAAGTAAAATTAAGTAATAGTTATTTGATTTCAAGTACATTTTAAAATATATTCACTCTGTAGTTTATATCTTACCTGTTTTTCCAAAGTTATGTGGGTAAGCAATAAATTAATAGTCAAAATGTTACTTTAAAATATACAGCATTGATTATAGAAGCATATTAATCAAAATCTAGCACCATGAATGAATTCAGAAGATCTTAGGGTAAAAGGAAGGGTCCTTTGGTTCCCTCATCTGATAGAAGAGAGAAGTCCAGCCTTGCAGAAGGAGAAAGGTGTTGGGACTGTGTTTTGGAAGAAGTTTGCCATGTGGCTTCCTTATAGCAGGGGCTCTCAGGCTGGGCTGCACGTAGTATGCCTGGCAGCTTTAGCCAGACCACCTTAATTAGTCCTTGGGTCCAGGTGAGTCCATTGTGCCTCACGTGGGGCCCATTGCTGTGCCAAGAGCAGTAATTCTTGCCCCTGCTGCAGTAGAAGTCGCCCGGAAATCTTTACATACCCTGAAGCTGAGCCTGCTCCAGAGATTCTAACTTAATTAGGCTTAGCTATGGCTGGGGCCATAGCCCCAGATTTTTTTTTCTTGATGGGGATAGGACTGGGGTTTCATGCGTACAAAGCAGATGCTCTACCTCTTGAGCAATACCTATAGCTCATTTTCTTGTAGTTATTTTGGAGATGAAGTCTCTCAAACTATTTGCCCAGTCTGGCCTCCACCTCAGTCCCCCCAATCTCAGCTTCCCAAGTAACTACGTTACAGGTACTTTTTTAAAAGTCTCCAAATAATTTTTATGGCAGCCAAGGTTGAATGCACTGGGTTAGATGTTCTTAACTTTAGGTCTATGTGTGGACTTCAGGGTGTCTGGGAGTCCTAAGATTGTGTACTGATGCATGTGCTCATGCCTTTTTCTGGGGTGAAGGTCCAAAACCACCTTCAGATCTCTAAGCTCTCTAAGGCACAGTGTGAAGCAAGGTGTTTGGATGATCACCGACGTTCCTTCTTACATCCTGCCCTCATTCATCACAACCCTGCCCCTGGCCCTTCTCTCTGGTGCTGGCTTAGTTTTTCATGCCTCAGCTGTAAACAGTGTTGTTCCAGTGTGTACAAAACTCGCACTTACAAATGGCTTGATTTGCACTCATCCATTTGTAAATCAGGTATTTGAAACCTAGGAACACAATTCCCCAGGGAAAAGTGATTATAAATGAGGGCTATTCGAAATGAAATATAAGAGAACAGAATTATTACAAACATGTAATATTTCAAATATGTGTTGAGAAGTCCAGGTTGCCAAAGATAAACACATAATATAATCAGAAATCTAGTCGTAAGAGAAGCAGAACTTGTAAGGAAAAAAATGTAGTGAGTTCTATAGGCTTTTGTGAGCTATACCAGAAAGGAAATCCAGCTCACTTCCCAGCTCATAGTAGGTACACAGTAAGATTGTTGATTGAATAACTGAAGGGGGAAATGTAGGATGTGTAGGCTGATTGCTCGGGAGGGGGGACCTAAAGGAATAGCGAGGACAGAAACAAGGGGGAAAGGGAGGGGTCTGAGGAAAACATCAGATGCGTGCTTCAGGGCTTCATTCCCAGAAGCTGGTTCTGCTCTGTGGAAAACTCCTGTTCCCCCAAACACAGCTCAGCTGTGGTACAGCAGGGCTCACCTGGCACTGGTCGCCTTGGGGAAGGTGGGGCTGCAACCATGGTAAAGCACCTTTTATCACAGCTTCCTGCTTGGAGCTGAGCCGTCCATGGGATATGTCCCCTGGGCCTCAGCCCCTCTGACATGCTGTCTGGCAATTACTTACATTCTTGCTGTGCTGACATATTGTGTTTTCACATGTGGCCTGCAGGTAGCATCATCTGGCTGGACGGGGGCACACCTCCTACTGATGTTCCTCAGGTGAGTCCCTGGGTCTGCCTGGCACCGCTGATCTGAGATCTGGGGGCTCCAGGGGTTCCCCCCAGAGTGACTCTGCACCAGCACCAGCCCTGCTGGGCCTCCTTAATACTGGTCAGGGCAGAGTTGAGCCTTAAGGAGGAAGGGTGAAGAGGTAATCTGTCCCTCAGGTGCTCTCAGGAGTGAAAATCCAACTTAAGTTTTGATATTAAAAAAAAAAAAAGAATATGTAAGCATTTAGTACAACAAAAATGAAACATAAAAAAGTCAAGTATAGAAAATGGAGTAGAATTCCCGATCCCATCCTTAAAGTGAGATTAATGTTTTTGGGTGTTTCCTTCTCGTCATTCTGTGATTTTACACACACTGCATATTTGTGCACACACTGTATGGTTTTTTTCTTGTATCACGTTTGGATTCTAATGGATTTCGTTATACTTTCCTACTTAGGCATTTTTCCATTTACCAAGCACTCTCCAACAGTATGGATTTTAAGAATTATTCCACAATCCATCCGGTGCATATGTTACTATTTATTTAGCAAATCCCCAGAACAAGCAGTGCATTGTTTCCAGTTTTTTTGACCGTTACATATAACTGGAGTGACATCCTTATAAAGAGAGTTTTATGACATCTCTAATGATTTTCTTCATTCTCTCATTTTTTCCACTAAAAGCTTTTTTTACTCAGAGTCCCAGCCTAAGACTGGAGACTTGCTGATTGAGTCATTTTATGCCTCAGTTTCCTCAGAATGGAGAGCTGCCAGGACATTTTGAGAGTGATTGAACACTAAATACCTTCCTCTTAATTGCAAGCAGGCAGGAGCCTCTTCACCCATCCTTGGTGTCTGTCTGTCCTGCCTTCTTGGTTACTCCTTGAACACCCGCCCTGCCTCCCACACCCTTTCCACTGCCCTGCACAGCATCTAGTTCTGAGTCTGGGCAGAAAGGCCTAGCTGAGAAGCTGAGAGATGGACATACAGACAGCAGAGGACAGGGGCAGCTAGGGCAGTTCCAACCATACAGGGACCTGAGGACTGGGATTTCTCAGAGCTAAATATTTTCATCCTTTGTTTTCACAGTTAGGGCAGGGAATGGACAACCATGGGTGTATCTGAGCTGGAGAGGAGGCTAGGGGGTTCTCCCCTCCCTCTCTGACAGCTCTTCTTCCTCTGCAGATAGGCAAGGATACCCTTCAGGCACTGGTTCCTCACTCACCAGCATCTTCCAGCCCCAGAAGGATCTTTCTGGATGCCAATGTAAAGGAAAGCTATTGCCCCTTGGTGCCCCATACCATGTACTGCCTGCCCCTGTGGCCAGGTATCAACATGGTCCTCCTAACCAAGGTATGGAGCCCCTCCTCCTGCCCGGGCAATCTTGGGGCCTGCACAGCTTCTCACTGCCTGCACTATTTCACCCTGGCCTCTCCTCTTTCCTGTAGTGCCCTAACACCCCACTGGCCCTGGTCCTATACCAGCTGCTCGACGGCTTCTCCCTGCTGGAGAAGAAGCTAAAGGAGGGCCAGGAAGCCGGGAGCGCCCTGAGATCCCAGCCCCTCATGGGAGACCTGCGTCAGAGGATGGACAAGTTCGTCAAGAATCGAGGGGGCCAGGAGATTCAGGTGGGACCCGGACCGCCTGTACTTGGCCTCCCAGGAGAAGAGGCAGGGCTGGGGTGACAGTGCTGGGTCATCTCCAGCAGATGAGGGGCTGGCAGTTCTGGTCCCTGTGCATGCTACTACTCGGATCTGTGATCCTTGTTTTCCCCAGTATGAAATGATAACAAAAACTGAGTGGCTGCACTTTGTGTTTTCAGCACCTTTTTCTGTGAGTTTGGCAGAACACAAATTGTAATTTGCATATTTTAGACGAAGAAACTGGAGTTTGGATAAGTCCTGACATAGCCAAAACTAGCTGCCTCATGGACAGCTGAGCCAGAGCCAGAGCCAGAGCCATTGACTCAGTGAAGGCCAGTGACCTGCCCATTACAGGGCATCCTCCGTACAGAGTGACCAGTCACCTGGGCACAGACACAGCAGAGAAACACAGGTCATGGTTCTACTTCTGCCTCATGGAGCGTAGAGTCAAATGGGGGCCGAGACCAACTGTGGGGACAGCACGTGAGCAGCAGCGAGCAGGCTATCACAGTGCAGCTCAGCACATCCAGTGCAGAGTTGAAGGGTAGATGGAGGAGGGGTTTCTGAGTTTAGCAGCTGGGGGCTGCTGGTGCAGCTGGCTGTGCCTGGGTCCGTTAAGAGCTGAGATTCATCATGGCTAGAATGCATGTTGGTCTAGAAAGAAGCAGAAGGATTGCAGAAGGCAGAGCAAGCAGCCAAAGCCCCAAATGCATCATGGTAGAGTCATCAGAAAGCACAGCATCTAACAATGCCTCAGGCATTGTGTTTAGGGAGAGCCACCCAAGGTCCCCCACAAGGCCACCCCAATGCCATCCCCCAGCCGCCTGCAGCAGCCACTGCTCCTCAACCTAACCCCCTAGCCCTATGTGTGCCCCTGGAGGGACTCGCCTAGTCACCTGAATGGCATTAGTGTCAGCGTCTGTACCCATCAACGCCGGGAGTCCCACATGTGGCCCGCAGAAACCACTGTTTACACCAACACTTGCTGAGTGGCTAGAATTCAAGGGCAGGTAGAGTGCTTGCCTAGCATGTGCAAAACCGTGGTTTCCATCCCCAGCACTGCCAAAAAATAAAAAATGACTAGAATGCAATGCACAGAGTGTGAGGGAGGGTGCTGCCAGGGAAGCCAGCAGGTGTGCTTGAGGCTTGCTGCCCTCGCCGGGTCTGACATGAAACCTCACTGCAGAGCGTAGTCTGAAAACTGACCTGACACCTGTCCTTACAGAGCACCTGGCTGGAATTTAAAACCAAGGCCTTCTCCAGAAGTGAACCCGGATCATCCTGGGAGTAAGTGGGGTCCTAGAATACAGGGGAGTCATAGAGACCAGCATCCCAGGGAAGTGGGGGGAGGCCCATAGGAGGGTGGCAGGAGTGGAAGCCAGGGGCTCTGGGATTCAACAGCAGGGATCCAAAAGCCTGGGCGTAGCTGCAGCACTGACTGTGTACCACTCAGGCAAGTCACTTCCCTACGAGAATTAGCAAAATGAGGTGTAGCAAGGAGTACCGCATACAGAAAACCAGAGCTGCCTCCTGCTACAGCGAGGATGCATGTTGTGCTTCATGGGCACAGTCCCTCTGCCTTTCCCAAGGTGATGCTCTCACTTCCCACACCCAGGCTGCTCCAGGTGTGTGGGAGGCTGAAGCAGCAGCTCTGTGCCATCTACCGTCTCAGCTTCTTGGCCACTGCGCCCAGCAGGGGAGGCCCGCACCTGCCCCAGCGCTTGCAGGACCAAGTCCAGAGGCTCATGCGGTGAGTGTGCATGTATGTAGGGGCAGATGGCCTAGGGGCTGGAGGACAGGGTCCACTCACAGCATCCCATGCTCCTGGGTTTCTTTTGGCAGGGAGAAGCTGCTGGACTGGAAGGAGTTCCTATTGGTGAAGAGCAGAAGGAATGTCACCATGGTATCATATCCTGGTACTTGGCCTGCCAACACTGGAAAGCCTAAGCTTTCTATACTGCAGGCCCTGGGGAAGAGCAGACTTGTATTCCACTATTTCCAAGACTTATTTGGCTCTTACGTTATGGAGGACAAGTTTTATTGAATACTGATTTTTTTCAGGGTACTTCAAGCAGCTTTTCCTATATTAGAATATCCCAAGTTTCAGGCCTCGGTCTCCCGGAACTTTGGTCTTCAGTAGATACAGGTGAGAGGGAGACTAGGGGCCTCTCATCCAGCAGCTACTGCCCTTCCATGGGAATCTGTTCCTCTCTCGGATGGGAGCCCCACAGTGTCCCCGTGAGTAGTAAGCAAGATTGTGGTGAGGATGGGCAGCTGGCCATATGCACTTGTTTGCTTAATGGTTCTACTTACACACCAGCCTGGAAGCGTGTGTGTCTAAATTCATCCCCAAAAGTGACCAATTGTGAATAATCCTTATTCCCTCCTATATGGCCAGAAGTGCCTGTCTTAAATGTGTGGCTTTTAGAGCTTCTTAAGACTGGGGAGGTGGGAAGTGGAGAGCTCTCTAGGAATTAGGAATCCTGGGACTTGGCTGAAGAAAAAGTCTGTGGGGAGAGGCAGTGTGGTCCTCCCCAGCCCTCTACTCAGCAGAGCAGGAAGTCCCTAGGCTTCCAAGGCAAAAGAGGTGCCCTCCCTAGTGCCTGGCTCTGTAAGCCCCTTAACGCAAGCCCTCACCTATCTGGAGGATTTCCCAGGCCTGGTGCATTTCATCTACGTGGACCGCACGACCGGACAGATGGTGGCTCCTTCCCTCAGCAGCAGTGAAAAGACTTCATCTGAGTTGGGCAAAGGTCCCCTGGCTGCCTTCGTCAAAGCCAAGGTAACAGCTTCTCTGACCCTGGGTACTCTTTACTGCCAGTTGAGTGGGGTGTACTGAGGCCTGACCTCTGCCCAGGAAGAATAGGCCTCTCTGGCTCTGTGAGGCTCTGGTCACCCCTGCCCTGACCCTTAGTGTGTTGGTCTGCCAGTGTCCACGCCAGATAACGCTCACTGCCAAGCATCTTAGGAACAGCAACTTGTCCCCCAGACCTGAGGGGCGCAGGGCCCAGTGCATGGTGGGCACACCTCCTGGTGTGTTACGTGCCTGGCTTTCCCGAGTGCTGGGGGGCCAGGTCAGAGGAGGAGACAGCCAGTGCCCAACGTGTGTGAACACTCAACAAGAATTTGTTAAATGAGCTGAAATGGAAAGAAATGTGGGGCCAATTTGAGCATAAGAATTTTATTTATTTTTTTTTTTAAATTTTGTGCCACGCTAGGGATAGAACTGAGGACCTCACACATGTCACTGAACTACACCCCCAGCCCAATCAGAATTTGGAAGTAGGTGGTTTTGACTATGGATGTATTCTCTGGGAGTCTGGGAGTTCTTTCATTCTCCTAATATAACTGACAATCCTTTTTTTTTTTGGTGGGGAAGGGAAACTTCTCGCCAAATAAAGTTATTGTAATGGATGAAATAAGCTGGGTGACAAAAGGCCTGTTGTTAGAGACCCCAGCTCTGCTGCCACTAGCTGTGTGGCCTGGGGTGTGACACGGTCCAAGATTCTGTTTCCCCTTCTGTAAAAGGAGGAAACAACACAATTTAGCTCACAGGCTTCCTGTAAGGAGCGGGAGAAATGATACGTGTAAATTACTCAGCACAGCATGTAGCACAGAACACAGACAGAACCCAGGACAGGACCCGGCTGCTGCGCTCTTCACCGCCAGCTTCCTCCACCGAGCCTCTGGACAGCCGGGGCTCTGGCATGTTGTTCTTCATTGTTTTGCTGGTGTTGAGCTCACTGCGTGTGCAGGTGTGCCTGCCTCATTTTTACTTTCACATTGTGCTGGATGCCTTTCCTCATGCTGTTCTTCATACACGTGATGATTTTAACTCCGTAATACTCTGTCGTGTGAATGTAACATCGTTCACGTAACCATTTCCCACTGTTTGAACTTTTAGATTGTTTCGGGACATTCACTGTTATAAACAGTTCTGCAGTACACATCTTTGGTGCACACATCTGAGTCCTCATCTTTGATTGTTTCCTCAATATGGATTCCTAGAAATGGAAATACTGAGTCAGATAGGAGGAATGTTATTAAGGTTATTGATGCGTGTTGTCAAGTTGCCTTTGTGGAAAGTGTAGCCAACCTATGTATCTCTTTGCAGATTGAATTAGGTAGTACGTGATTTGGTGTGGAGTGAGTCCTGCATCCCTTCTACTACAGCTCTTAGCAACAGGGTCTTTCCCAGACCTGGCATGAAGTAGGAGGGCTACGTGGTCCAGCGGTACAGCCACTTTTCCTAAGACATCCTTAATGACAGCCACTGCTTTAGGCAGAACATCCCATCAGGAGAGGGAGCTAAGGCAGGTCCCCCTTTTGTCATCCACCCCACGCTGAGCCTTTGTTTGGTCTTGACCACAGGATAATGTGCCCAGCTCAGGGAATACTGTACCTTCAAATGTTTGCCAGCACCCCCTAGGTTGGAACCTATACCATCACCTCCCAGCCCTGGAGGGGACTTGGGTGAGAGAGGGTTTCCAGGTGGCCATACCTTGAACTCCTGGTCTGAATGAGCAGTGTCCTAATTTGGTTTATGGGTATAGTAAACTTGTATAGGGCTGATAAATTTGTATAGGAGTGTCTCAAGTGATAGAGCGCCTGCCTAGCATGCCTGAGGTCCTGAGTTCAAACATCAGTACCGCAAAAAAAAAAAAAAAGTGAAATTGTCTAAGTATTTTTACATATATCCCCCACAGTGACTGGAGGAGCAGCCCACCTATCCATCCATCCATTCAGTAATGATTTGTTCCTGAGCTCCTGCTCTGAACCCAAGCATAGTACAATCTAAGGAGAGTCCTTGGACTCCTGGGAGCTCCACAACCCAGTGCTTTGCTTCCTTGGTAGCTCAGAGGGGTTGTCTGGCAAGCTCCAGCTGCAAGAGCGGCTCTAAGTGCTCTCTCTTTCCCCAGGTTTGGGCTCTGGTCCACCTGGCACGCAGATACCTGCAGAAGGGCTGTACCACGCTGCTGTTCCAGGAAGGAGACTTCCGTTGCTCCTACTTCCTATGGTTTGAGAATGACACGGTAGGTGTTCCAAGTCCCTAGGCAAGACTGTTCTGAGCACTGGCCACTCCTGTAACCCTCGGATTCATTTCTTCTGCTCTGTCTTCAGTCTGTCTGTCTGTCATCTCTTGTCCCTGGTGGATCAATAGGTGAGCACAGTACGGGAACCTAGAACATAGGTCATATTGTCAGACCATCATCTAACTTTGCTTTTCCTCTGCTCACTGCCTGACAAACTCATGCAGTTGTTCAGACGGTGCCCAGGAAGATGTGAACAGGTGAGCACAGAGCCTGATCCTCAGATGTCCTTTTTCATCTTTAGTACTGCAGTGTTGTCACCTGAATAAAGTGGTTGTGTGGTCATTCACTTTGGGCAGATGAACCCAGGTTCAAAGAGGTTAACCAGCCTGCCTGGGAGAAGCTGCCAGCAGGACTCAAGTCTCCTGTCACTGCAGTGTTACAGGTCATGAGAATCCACTGTCTACTGCCTCTCTCCCTCTCTTCTTCTGTGTCCCTTCTATCTTTTCCTTTCTTCTGTTTCTCTTAATGTCTTTTCCTTGCTTGTTGTCTGTTACCATTATTCCAGCTCTAAGGGTTATTCCCTCTGCTCCACAGCACCTTGGTCTTTTGCCTTTTTGCTCCTGTGCCCTCCCTAGCTCCTGCCCTGCACTTTCTGCTCATTGAGGGTAGCACCCCACCCTTTCCATTGTGCAGTGTAGTTATCAGTTCCTTTGCCACGGTTCCCTCATTCATCCCTCACAACCCCATGTAGTAGTTGGGGCAGGTTTTATTGACTCCATTTTGCAGGTAGGAATGCCAACGGTCTAGAACTCAAACACTGTGGCAAGGGCCATATAGGTCCATGTGATAGAGCCAGAACCCAAGCTCAGTTCTGCTCACCTGCAGGCTCCCATCTTTGCTCTTTGCCCTCCAAAGTGCTACAAAGTTCCTTTGACCTTTACCTGAACTTCTAGGGAGAGTCACGAACTTGTGCATGTGAATGGCCCAATGCAGCAAAGCCGTGGGGTAGGAAACCTAGGTTTGAATACTGGCCACAGCACTTCAGCCCTTTCAGAGGTGGTTGGTCCCTTAATACTACCGAGTCCACATCCTCCCCACAGGGCAGGCCTGTTGGTGCTACCTGAGCATCAGGTGAGCACATCTATAGGAACACCACAATCATGCCTGGCATGCTGTACATGTCCAGTGGATCTCAGTTCCCATCCTCATTTTATCCTACTCTGAGAATTCACCTTTCTTTCAAAGCAGAGATGTGGGACCTTTGGGAATACTTTGCTTACTAAGATCCTACCTGACATCCCACCCCACTTCCATGTTGCCTTCCCTCTACCCTCCAAGTGCTTCGCTGACCCAGGCCCACTTGTAAGAGCTCTTGCAGGCCTGGCACCATGCTCGAAACCTTGTGGACATTCTCTCCCACTTCCCAGATGAAGAAACAAGATAAAAAGAGGTGCATCCCTTTTCCCCAGCACCAAGCACACTCCAGGGACATGCCCTGTGCATGTGCCTCAAGCGTATGGGTCTTTGCCCCTGCCTCCCTGTTCTTAAGACCCCTCTCCTCTTCCCAAAGGGCTGCAAACTCCAGATGATTGAAGTGCCTGTCCTCTCCGATGACTCAGTCCCCATCGGTGTGCTGGGAGGTGACTACTACAGGTGATGCTGACTCACAGAAGCCCCATACTCCCCAGATGTCAGTGACAAGGGCCAGCATCACCATGGAGAGCAGCTCCTCCAGGAAAGAGAAGCTAGAAATTTAAGTGCTGTCCCTCGCTTCTGTGAGCCCCTCACAGGCTGGCCGAGCATGTAGGGGAAGCAGTCAACATGGTCTTGGTAGTATGGGGAGACCTCTGCGAGGCCCAGAACTTCCCTGCTAGCGCCTCTTAGCTAGGACACCACTGTATGAGAATGAGAGCCCCATGGGAGGGACTGTGACCCCATGGCAGATGCACAGGGCATGTCCCTAGAGGGTACTTGGTGCTGGGGAAAAGGCATGCACCTCTTTTTATCTTGTTTCTTCATCTGGGAAGTGGGAGAGCCCCATGGGAGGGACTGAACCCAGAGCTTAGGGCAGTAAGGTGCAGGAGATAACTAGTGAGAAGACCGCAGGATGGGTCTTTGGGTGCCTGCAAAGCCAGAGAGGCCTCTGGCCTGGGAGGGGTACTGTGGTCTTGCACCTGAGACCTGTCCTTCTGTGTCCCCAGGAAGCTCCTACGCTACTACAGCAAAAGCCGCCCTGCTGAGGCTGTCAGGTGCTATGAGCTACTGACCCTGCATCTCTCAGTCATTCCCACTGACCTGCTGGTGCATCAGGCCAGCCAGCTGGCACGGCGCCTGGGGGAGGCCTCCCGTGTGCCCTTGCCCTAGGCCAGGATGTGCCGGCCTCGGTACCTGATCTCCAACCTCTACTTGCAAAAGTTCCCCACAGCAAGAGCTTCTTCCTGTCCCTGGTGGCCTCCTGAGGATGCACAGGAGTCCTAAGGCAGCCCCGGGGTTTCTCAAAGCCCACCTGGACCACCCTTCACATGGGGTGATAAGTAAGTCCCCCCAGATCTTGACCTCTGGAGACAATGGGATACCATGGTCTTCTGTTGGTCTCCTTAAAACAGCAGTGGCTGTGAGGTTGGAGATGGCAGAGGCTCCTCTTTGAGAGCTATTTCTGTTGGTCCCCAGGAGAGAGGGAGGAAGTCCTTAGTGCTCAGACTGTCCAAAGATACCCCTTTCCTGCTGTTCTGAGTGGAGAAAGCAATTTTCCTACCCCAGATGAAAGGTGCTTCTCTGGCTGCTTTGAATTCCAGCACTGACATTTCCTCTCTGCAGCTCTGGTCACTTATTAATTGATAAATCTGTTTCCCCACATTTAAACTGATGACCTCTCAGAGTGGTCAGGAGGATTAGCAAGCATAGTAGGTACTCAGTAAATACCGGTTGTCATCAAGCCCAAAGTGCCTGTCCTTCTGGATCTTTTTTTTGGCCCTAAGAAGCCTAGCTAGATCCTAGCCCCTACCTCTGCCCTAGGGCTGTGGTTCTGAGCTCAAACCCTAGCCCAAAGATTCAGATTCATGTGGATGGCAGCCCAGATTCTATGTTTTTAAAAGGCTCCCATGCCACCTGGTGTGTACTTGCAAAGGGTACAGCTCCTCTCTCCTAACCAAGAGGTTCCTATCCCAGAATGGACGTAAGGACAAGAGACTGCCAAAGCACTGGAACATTGTCTGCTCCTCTCAGATCAAGACGTGATACTGGGGTGGAGGGAAGTAGTGTGCCAGAAATGTACATCCATCAAAAAAAGAAATGAGTGCCCTGGCCAGCGTACCAGAGCCTGGCCATCTGTGTCTGTCTTGGGCTGAAATTCACGTGAAGAGACTGGTCTCTTGAGCTGGCAAAGTGGCTGAAGTGGTAGAGTGCGTCCCAAGTATGAGACCCTGAGTTCAAACCCCAGTACCACAAAAAGAGAGAGAGAGAAGACTGGTCTCCCCTGCAGGGGCTGGCTATGGAGAAAGCAGGTCCTGAGGGCTAGAGTCCTCAGAAGGTGGCAGTGAGGCATATGTCCCTGGAGATGACCAGATCTGTGTTCCTCCTTACTATCATGATTTTATGGGTAGAAATTAAAAAGACAAATACCTAGTGTAGAAAATACAGAAAAGCACAAAGGAAAAAAGTAGGCCTTTAAGCTTACTACTGTTCAGGACACCCACTTTTTAAAAAATTAATGTTTTCCCTTAATTCTTAGTAGCTTTATGATGTGAGGTGTCTAACCAGTCCTCCTCACTTTCCTATCCAATCATCCCTGTGTATCAGTAGGGTTGATTCTAGGACCCCCAGAGAAAGGTAGTACGTACATGCTGAGTACAGACACAGTATTTTAAAAATATTTTGATCTGCAGTTGATTGAATCCACAGATGTGTAACCTGCGGCTGTTACAGATGACATAGGTGAAAACCCTGAGTCAGATTTTAGTGGAGATGTCATGCATGGTGTGAGTCTTGCCTGGTGTGTAGAGGGATGCCTGCATCCAGAGTAGAGGGTCCTCACTCAGCCCTCTCAGAGCCATCTTTTCTGAGTCCTCACCTAGGACACTGGCAGGTTCTGAGCTGCACTGTCCTTTCCACTCCTGGCACCTTTCTTCTATGGAGGACTGATTGGCTGCTGGGGAGTGGGCAGGAACAGAGACTCCTGGGTCCAGACAGGCCATAGCGACAGTAAGGAAGCACATTAGCTAAGGTTACTTACAGGTGTGATTTGTAATCCTTGAAGATTCTTGGAAAATGGGAATGGTACCAAAAGACAGAAATATCCAGGTTTTCAAAGAAAAGAGTGAATCCCAAGAATTAGAGACAATGAACTAATCCCTAAGCACAGTCTCCTGGTAAGCGGGCAGTGTTCAGGAGAGAACACAGGGCTCCCAGTGACAAACATGGTCCTCTCTGCAGGTGACTGAAGGCCCTGGCCTTGGTCATGCTGAAGGGTGACTCTGGAGACTTCTGCTGTGGCTGTGTGAGCCTCCTGTGGTAAGGAGCAGTGACCATCTTGGACTATCAGACTCCACTCTGCAAGCCAGAGCAGGGCCTGACTTGGCAGTCCCTCTCCCACTTGACAGGATTCCCACCCAGCACAGCACATCCCAGGCACTGACCCTTTAATGAGAATAAGCCCCATGGGGAAGAAGGCCCCCTGCTCTGGCTCTGCCACCTGCTCACACCCAGTGAACTGTCAGTTTGGCCCTTACTCACAGTCCTGGAGGTGGCATGGCTCTGCTGGTTAATAGGGCCCTCTGCAGGCTTGCACACACACCCTGGCTAGTCTTGGCCCAAGGCCAAAGCTGCGTCTGGGCAGCAGCTCCACCCCCTCCCTGCGTCCTCCCAGCCCCTCCCCCTGCTGGGGCAGCACAAAACGCTGACTGTAAGCAAATTCCTGGGGGCAGCAATGGCTGCCCGCGGCCTAGGGCTCAGCAGAGCCTTGGGCTCCTCTTCCAGCCCTGCTTGGAAACGGGCTTCCTCAGAAGCTGGGGCACGCCTGAAGAATGAGTACGATGCTGTGGTGATAGGAGCAGGTAAACCCGGGAGCCAGAGCCCAGGGCAGGAAGGCAGCCCTGCTGAGAGGCCTGGAGGGGCGGTTCACTGAGCCCCACTGCTCCCTGTACTCAGCACAACTTGGCCAGGAGTTTGGGTGGGAACAGGGGTTGGTACGGAAGGTATTCTGGTTTGGGCATCAGGAGCCGTGTTTCTGGTGCTATTTCTGCCATCTGGATTGCTATGTGGGCAAATTCTTGCCTTCTCTGAATCTGAGTCTCCCCCTCTAGAACAGGAAGAAAGGACTAGGAGAGCCCAGGGGCTGCTCTGTTTCTCTTGCAAAATAAGCTAGTTCCTTCCATGTTCTTGGAAAGCATATAGTACGGAAGGGTTGGAAAGAGAACCCTGGGACAACAGAAATGAATTCCACCCACCCTGTGCCCCGAGTTCTGATCACCACCACTGAGGTCACCCATCCCCAAAGGAAACCAGAATCTTTTCATACATAGGAGTTGGGAAATAATAGATCTGAGTCCCAGAAGCCCTACTGTGTGTTCTCAAAGGGTGGTGGTCCTCTCAGATATTAGGATCTGCTACAGGGGTCCTGCAACTCTTTGTTGAACCCCAAGCTCAGAGCACACAAGTCTTCAGGGTGCCTGGGTGAGACAGCCAGTCCAGGGCCGTTCACTCCACTCCAGCCCTCCATCCACACTCAGAGCACCCAACTGGGCTCACACATAGGTGACAGGCCTTAAAGATAATGCTCCTCACACAGCTTCAGATGCCACCCTGGCTTAGCTTTTTCATTTTTTGTGTGCCGTCATGAGCTGGAACAAATGTGTGCATAGACACACACATTATCAATATTAAAGGTGTACAACATGATCTTACAAATCAAATATATACTACTATTAATTTAAATTCCATGTCACCAGTTGATACTTATGCCATGCTTTCTTGGGTTTTTGCCAAACTCAGTAGCCAACCTGTGGTTGCAATTCACCAGTGTGCATAAGTTCAGAAGGAATGCTTAGAATTTTCATTCACTTTAAAGAATAGGACAAGAGTGAAAAAAAGATTTATGTCCCAACTTCATTCCTTCTCCAATGACAGCAATGACTGCTCAGTGAGATAGTATTTTTGTGATATTGGAAGAATATTTTCTCTATTTTTGGTACTGTGTATTCACATCTCCATACTCCAGGTACTGGGTTAAATGTAATCCATGTTGTTTGTGTGTTCCCTCACTTTTTCAAGTCTAACAGCAGAACAGTAGGCGAAGCACTGAGGTTTCCTGTGCTGACTCCCACCGCGGCTGTCCCATAGCAGTAAGGTCACAGAATGGGATCTGGGAGAGACACAGTGTCATATTACTGTGTCCCCCATGCAGGTACCTAGAGGCAGGTGACCACAAGAGCACAGGTAAAAGGCAAATGTTGTAAAGTAAGTAGAAAGCAGCCTACTTTGAGTTCTTAATACCTTTGGTTTAAGTGTAATTTACTTAGTGGGAAGGTTATATAATTTAGTTGTTAACGACGGCTGTGTTTGACAAGTGGCAGTGGGAACACCACTGACTGGCCTCGGAAATGGAAGCACACAGGCCTCAGCCTCATAGACACATCTGCCTGTCTCCACTCTTGGCCACAGCCACCTGCTGCCGGGCCACCGGCTGCCTTGGTGAGAGTTGCCCACAGGGTTGTGTGTGCCTCAGCCTGCGCTTTAGCCACTCATGGCTTCTGTTACCAACATGACTACAGCCTGGGTTAGAGGCATCCAAGCCTGAATGAGGAACAGAGTGGCATCCTCCAAGGTAAAAGTTAAAACTGTCCCTGGAGTCACACCAGTACCTGACAGCCACCTGAGGAGACCCTGATTTTGTCATTTCACTAAATATGCTAAGAAAGACCTAAAGAGCTTGTTAAGATGCAGATTCCTGGGTCCTGACCCTGGAATCAGGATTTTGAGGGAGTTACATCTACCCTGCAACCAGCACTGCAGTGAATCTGAGGCTGGCGGTGGCTGAGAGCACCTCTCAGACCATGTGCTGCTGCTTGAGGATCCCTGGAGGCCACCTGGGGATTAGTGGAGCCTGCAGCAGAAGACCCTACAAGGGGGCAAGTCACCAGAAGCCACAGGAGAGGCAGCCAGGACTTGGGGGTATTGGATCGTCAACTTTTGTCACTTGAGATCCATTTGCACATTTATGGGCTTTGTGACTGAACTGCATCCTGTTGCCTGGAAGACTGCATTCATTTTCCAAGACTGATGAGCACCACTAATTAAGACAAATGTCCACCATGTTTATTCTATCCTTGCAAAGGGTCAGGTGCTCTACAGATTACCACTGGTTCCCCCTGCAACATGCAAGGTCCCAGCATCCTCTCTGCCTTACATATAGAGGTTCATGGCTGTTAAATAGCTCTCTGAGAGCCAAGTCAGGTAAATAACAGAGCCAGGTGGAGCCCAGAAATGCCTGCCTGGGATTTGTATTCAGAGTAGCACTTCTCAAACTGCAGGTTCAAGTTGGTCATGAGTCCCTAACACCATATTTTTAAAACTTTCTTATGAAAAATCTTAAGCACTTTTTAAATGAAATAGAACCAAATATATTATCACATGGTAAGAATTAATGTTAGTTCATGAAACTTTTTTCTGTGAAATACATTTATTCATATGGTGTGTGCCAGGTCACAGTGTAAGATGCATTTCTCCCTGTGGATCGTGGGCAAAGGGGGTTGAAAACCCCACTTTGAGAGATTCAATTAATGGATGAGAAGTTGGCTCAGTGACCTCTTTTTTCTGGAACGTCTCCATGTAGGAAATTTAAAACAAAACCAACTCAGCCATGAAGAAATTCATCACAGGGTCATCGCTGTTCCACTATAATTTGTCAAATTAACAGTTAAGCATTTCATTTGAGTCAACACTGGGTTCAGGTCAGTGCTCAGAGATCAAGGCCATCTAGTGACTTCTAAAATACTCAGCAGGGCATCTGTCACCAAGGAGAAAAAGGACCCAGGTCTCTAGGACTGGCTGACATGCTTCTCCACATCAGCTGCATTTCCTCCTGAGAGTGAGAAACAGAGAAGACTGGCGTGGCCCTGGGGCCTGGAGATCAGCATGTGGCTTTGAGACCACCTGCATGAGAATTACTCAGAGCTTGTGAGGAGTCGGTTCCAGCACACACCCCCAACCCACCAGACGGACCCTCTGGGGACGTGTCTGGGCTTCACCATTCGCCTGCCTTCCCCAGTGATTCCAAGCTTGTCGCAGGGGAAAGGTTCTTGCTACTCACAAGCTTGGTGCCCCAAAGCCTGATTTAGGGATCCCAGCCCAGGGGCAACCCTCCTGATACACTTGCCCCATCAGCTCACCCTTAAAGCACACCTGGTCACTCTAACATACCTTGAAGCTCTTCGTGTTTGATTACTTCATTTTGAAGTACTCCTATTTCGTTCTTGGAGCACTGCAGTTTGATAGAGACACCCCTCTTTAGATAAAGCCTTCTCAGGCATTGTCGTGCCCAGTGTGAGCCACCCTTGGGCCAAGCAAGCCATCTGAGCAGCACTCAGATGGCCACCTTCCATCCCCTGCCACGTAAACTGTGATCAGTCACCTGCTCCTCGTGAGTGATTGAAGCCCCAGTGACCATGGACCCTGCTCCTCGCTCCAGCATGGAACAAAGTTGACAGCTCTTCACTGAAGCCAGGGCAAGAACTGGGGTTTTCTGACTCCTGCTTGAGATGCTATTTCCGTATCCAAGTGTGAACAGGGGAGGGGGATAGGGATGGAGACCTCATTCCTCAAGGAATTTGTGTTTGTCTGCTGGCCAGTGATGCTTTCTTCCCTCTTCCTGTCTCATTGCAGGACACAATGGGCTGGTGGCTGTGAGTACCTCCCCCTGCGGCCCCACCTCTCGGCCCCTGGGCAAGTGGCTCTCAGCAGCTGTGGGGAGGAGCTTAGGGGAGCTGGCAGGATAAAGGTCACAGAAGAGAAGAAAAAGGCAGACTGTTCACTCTCCCAGTGCTGACCAAGGGCTGGGTTGAATGTGTACCTGTAGCCAGTTAGGTTGGATAAAACGGACTGTCTTCCCTCGTGCACAGGGTCCTCCATGGCCTGTGGGAGAGTCAGAAGTGTACAGAAGCAAGCCTCTGAGAAAGTGGGAAAGCATGTCATTGTCATAGAAGGAGCAGGTTGGAACCTGGGGGTCAGGTGCCTGGAGTTGGGTTGGGCTCTGACTCCAGCTTAGGGCCAGTGCTATGTAGAGAGCCTCATACTCTCCAGTGAGGTTCAGGCCACTGATGTACCACCTGGAGGGCACAGCTGCTATATGTCCAGAGTATTCTCTGGTGACCCTGAGGCATCTCCCCTATCAGAGGGGCCAGGACTCCTATCCCCAGCACAGCTGGCTTCTAGATCCGAAGCTGAGCCAGGCAGAGGCACCCGCAGACTGTGCTTCATGGTCCTGAGTCCCTCTACCTCTAGGCCACTGAGGCTCTTCAAGGCCACAAAACAAACAAGGAACATATTGAAGCAGTAGCAACTCAAGGGTATCAATATAGGGGGCTTAGGGAAACACGGAGTGCGAAGGAGCTCCTGTTAAACCTTAGTACCTCACCTGACACATTGGTTTTACTGATCATTCTATAAGGGAATCTTGTGACTCATTCAATTGGTGATTTAAACACTGATTTTTTATTAATGTAAATGCAGATTAGTGTTCCATCTCCGCCATCATCTGTCTATCTTAAAGGCTAAGATGAAGTCACCCTGCCTCTCTGAGCCACAGTAAAGTAAGAGCAAGTGTCCACCCTCACTGCGATGTGGTAAAAAATAACATACCACAAGGACCTGGCACGTACAGCTTGACACACCGGTGGCTCTTACGATTTCAAGTGCCAGCCCAGGGAAGGCCACCATCAATGCCCTTCAGCCAAAGACCACCAAGAGCATGGCAGGGTTGGCCACATTGGGTTTGTTGCTCATTGCAGCAAACAAGAACACGTGCCATGGTGGGGTATCTGATAAGAACATGTGAGAAAGAAACTAATGTAGGGTCTGAGCTTTGGTGGGAGGATCTGGAGAGTGCCTGAGAAGACAGGAATTTGCTTTAGATTAGACACTTCCAGAAAGTAAGGACAACCTGAGAAGCAGTAAATCTTATCTGTAGGGAGTGGAGACTAAAATGAGGACCACTGAGGACTGGTAAAGAAGTAGAAGCCACTTTTTCTGATCAAGAGGAGTGTTTGGTATTTTGTAGATGACACAGAAACTGTCTTTTTTTGTGTACTTAGAATTGTGCAGTGGGCTTGCTTGGTGTCATTTTATCACTGTCTCACAGTACCCTTGTTTGAGGTTGTCACTCCATGACGTAGTTTATGACTCATGGGAGAGCAATATGGCTTACCTCTTCATATCATGCCAGTTTACAAATATCATGCCAGTTTACAAATATTATACAGTTTACGGCTGTGTGTGTGTGTGTGTGTGTGTGTATCTGTGTGTGTCTGTAGGATATGTTAGGGAGCTAGATCCTGTGTTCAAACAGGCTGGGTTCAATTCCCAGCCTCTACTCATCAGCTCTGGAAGCCTAAGACAAGCTGTTACTCTCATTGAGCCTCACTTTTTCCATCTGCAAAATGGGGGGAAACATGACACCTAGCTCTAGGATAGTGGGGTGGATTAAATGAGATATACCCACAGTGTCTGGCACATAACAGTGCTTTTATTTAAAATAGTTTTATTATATTTTTGTATTTGTGTACATGAATAATACAAGGGGATTCCATTGTGATAATTCCATACATGAGAACAGTGTACTTTGAACAAGTTCACCCCTCCATTATACTCCCATTCCCTCTGTCTCTCCTCCCCTTTTCAAACAGTGTTTGGTGGGTTTCATTTGCAGTCTTCATATAAACATAAGTATACACATATATGTATGTACATATGCATATACATATGTAGCATACTTGTATCCTCTTTACCCCTCAATATCATTCCCTTTTCCCCTCCCCCTCCTTTTGACCTCCCAGTCCTTTCACATTCTTTTCCTAGGATCCACAAATGAGGAAGATCATATTTTTTGAACTTGGCTTATCTCATTCAACATGATGATCTCCAGTTCCATCCATTTTCCTATAAATGACATGAATCCATTTTTCTTTGTGGCTGAGTAATATTCCATGGTAGAAATTGTCGACTTTTTAAAAAGTGCCATCTGAATTTTCACCATCCCTGTTATCACATTGATGTACAGTGGTGGTGGGAAGACCCTCCTTGTGGGACTGTAGTCTCAAGACTAGTTCAATTCAATAAATATGTATTGATTTCTCCTACTGATTGCTGCAGAAAAATAAATAGAACCCCCTGAATCAATTGTTCCCCAAAATGAAGTTCTGTCAGAGCCACATTCATGGTATGTAAGTCCTTGCTAGGGACCAGCTCAGATGACCCTCACAGCAATCCTAGGTAGTAGATAAAACAGGCATGTTATTGTGGGTCTTGTTTTTTTCCATGAGGAAACTGAGGCTGGATGTATCAAGTACCAGAAAAAAGAGAGATTGAGGAGTTGAACCTGGGGAGTCTGGCCCTGCATTCTCAAGTTCCACCTCACCATGCTACCGCTTCATTGTGCTTATAAGACTTGAGACTGCTCCTGCCTGGAGGAGAGGGACATCAGGAGGAGAGGGACAGCTAGGGCACAGTGGGCAGAGTGCAATATGAGTCCCTTGGGCACCAGGCCTCTAAGGAGGGAAGGTCACCTTCAGTGGGGAGGTGGAGGGGCAGGAGCAGACATGTTGATCTTGGAAGACATCTGGACTCATGAGCCAAGGATGCCCACTGACCCTGCAGTGAAGGCCCTAAGTCAGGAGGCCAGTCCCCAGAGATAAAGGGAGGGCCCTATGTTCCCCAGGCGGCCTACCTGCAGAGACTGGGGGTGAATACAGTGGTCTTTGAGAAACGCCACGTGATCGGGGGTGCAGCTGTCACTGAGGAGATCATCCCAGGTGAGTTATAAGAGGTTGGGCAGGGAGAGTAAGGCAATGATCACTGGCAACTGATTCCTCTGATTCTGTTCCAGGGTTTAAGTTCTCCCGTGCATCCTACCTCCTCAGCCTGCTGAGGCCGCAGATTTACACGGACCTGGAGCTGAAGGTAGAGCAGTCCCCATGGCCCTGTGGTTAGGTGGGACAGCAGTTCCATCCTTCCGATGTGAGTGAAGGCACCTTTACTGTGTCCAAGGCAAATGCCCCTCCCTTCCCGTCTTTCCTTCATTCATGGATTTCTATCTGCATTTCACAGATTGATTTCCTCCTGCCCACCCAGTGTCTTAAAAACTAGGAAGTTGCATAAAAATCATAGCCCTTTTGAACATTGAGCTTAATCAGCATCAACCCTCATTTCACATAGTGGCACCTGACTGGTGCCTTGCATGGGCAGGGCTCCATGCTATTCCCTGTCCCCATTACCTTCTGACATCTTATCTGGCCCTCATAGGATACCTGTCTAGAACCTTGAGCACCTGAGTTTGCAAAGCTGCCTTAGACACAAGGCAAATCTGCCCTCATTAAACTTTGAAGCCTATTGCCATTCTTGGAAGCCCAAACAGAAAGCTAGACCCAGACTTTTACCTCCTCCAGCTCCAGGGCTGTTTTGAGAGGATCATGAGAACTCTCCATCTGCCCCTGTTCTCTTCTTTGTCCACTAACCTCTGTCCACTGGCTTGCTCACCTCTACCCTGCACCTGCCACATTGCCTTACCTGTGATTTTTTCACAAACTGCTACTTCATTCCCAAGGCTGACTTACTTCCTACCCACTGGTGCCTCTGTCACTCCCTCTCAGAAAAAAGGTTCCTGGTGCCACCTGTATAAGCACCCTTATACAAGTGTGCACCTTGCTCTTAATTCAAAGTCTGAAATGAATAAGCTGTTTGTCCACTGTTTACAGTTCTTTGGATGTGCCAGCAGGTTCATGTATAGGGATTTCCTAAAGTAAATGACTACAGAAGCTCAAGTTAGAAAATTATTATTTAAGAGAGACAGAGACAAAAAGAGATCCTGGTATAGGACTGGATAGAATTTAGAGTGGGTCTTGGTTTTCGGTTCATACCACACTATAGCTGAAGGCAATTGGTAAAGCACCAGTTCACAGTGGTAGATGTTGGTGGCCAGAGGCAGCCCCTGCTCACCCCTAGCCCCCTTGCCTCCCACAATGATCTTCCGGGTCTCAGCTGTAGTCCTTCCACTCATGCTTTACTGGGGAAATCTCCCTGAAGTGGGGCTCACAAACCTGTAGGACTATAAGAGTAACCTGGGACCAGGCGGGGAAGCAGAGATTTCCAAGGTTCTTGCATGGAGATGTGATTCTGTAGGAGTGGTTTGGTCTGGCAGCAGCATTTTATGGCATTCTTGGTCATTCTGAAACAGGCGGCTCCAGTCATAACTTTGAAAACCACACTCCTTAAAACCCCCATGTTTCTGGTCCTTCAAACACACCTCATCCCTTCCCAACAACTTCCACCTTGGATGGCTGTGCAGCTAAGAAGTCTCACAGGCAATGAGAGGAAAGACTGCTTTGTTTTGTTTTTAAAGAGAACTTCATGCTCTGACAGACCTCCTGGAGAGGATCTAGTGGCTGTTTTAACATTTACGTTCTTCTGACTCCTCCTAATTAAACCAGCAAGAATGACAAAGGTGCCATTTATAAGAGAAAGTCCTCGGAATCAATCAAAAACTGATTCATGTTCAATTAGTTATACTTGAAATACCTCTTAGGTTCCTCTCTACTGCTTATTGACTTGACTTCTGCATTCAGTCAATGTTCCTGAGCACTTACTCTTTGCCAGACCCTGGGACAAAACCCTTGGGGGGTAGGCAGTGAACAAGGAAGCAGTAAGAGAACTTGAGGTAGAGGGAAGTGGCAGGAAAAAAAGAAAGCAAGGAAATATGATAGAAAGAGACTACAGTCCCAGCCTAGACTGGTAACCAAGAAATCCCCCTTGAGGTGCCATGTGAGCTGATGTTGAAATGTGAAGAAGTCACCAGCCAGGTGGACATCTGAGCAGAGAGTTCCAGTCAGGGGGAAGTAGAGGTGAACAGGCAGAGGCAGACATGAGCAGAAGGCAGGTCAGTATGACTAGAGCAGACAGGTGACAGGCAAAGGAGCCACAGATGATGGGCAAGGGGACAGTGTCAGCTTAGTGTCAGGCTTTGCAAGCCACGATGAAGGGATTGCACTTTATCCCAGTGCAGTGGAAAACCAACAGAGATATTTAATCAGGAAGTGGGATGTGGGATTCATGGCTTCAGGAAAGATCAGTCCTCCTGGATCATGGTGGAGGAAAGAATGGTTACAGATACATTCGTGTGGCAACTGCTACAGTGGATCACAAGATGGTAGCCTGGACTGAGGGCAGTGGACAACTTCTACAGACAGAGCTGACAGGAGTTCACAGTAGAAGAGATGTCAAGGTGTCAAGGGTGAGAGAATAGAAGAACTAAGGATGCCCCATAAAGTTGAAGTTCATTGTATTAAAAGGAATCAATCTGGAAGCTCCTCCAACTTGCAATTAGATTTCTCCATCTCTTTTTTTTGGCAATACTGGGGTTTGAACTTAGGGCCTTGTGCTTGCTAGGTAGGTAACTACTACTTAAGCCACTCCACCAGCCTACCTGATTTCTCCATCTTAATGTTAGAAAGGACCCAAAGGTCTCCCAGCCCAGACCCCCCACCATCACTACCATGTTTAGAATCTCCTCTGTCATATGCCTGTTGTCCTGGTGATTCTGCCTGTCTGGAATGTCTCTGGTTTGGGACAACTCTGGCTGTAATTGTTGGAAAGGTCTGGTTTTGGTTTCCATTTGCTGTCCTAATTCTTCTAGTCACAGATCTCCTTTCTGTGCTCTGGAGTCATACCTTGCTTGCAAGGTAGCATTCATCTGTGCAGCCAACAGAGTGCTTAGTGATGGTGCTGAATGTATATGTAGGCACATCATTGAGCAGAACAAGCCCTGATGTCACTGACCTCACAAAGCTTTCCTTCTACTGGAATGAGGTGAAGTTAAAACTAAAGATGTAGTTAGCTATATAGTGACAAGTACTTCGGGGAAAAATAATGCAGGGCAGTGGGCAGCAAGTGCTGGTGTGATCAGGAAGGCCTTTCTGCATTCAAGAAGAGACCTCAGGCCAGGAGTTGGGAGAAATCTATAGAAAGTGGCCACTGTAAGCCTTACTGGTATTGGTAGCACAGGCCCCTCTGTTGGATCTGTGCTCCTTTGGAGAAGTATACATGCTCTTGTAAAGTCCTGTGTGCTGGCCAAACATCTGTAAATTGAATCACATTTTAAATATATCAAGGGAACTTCCATTTAAAGTGACCCTGGAGTAAATGAGTCTACAAAGTAAATAAAATTTTTTGATACAAATAATTTATCTTTCTTGTATATATGGATTTTCACATAACCGTTGCTTTATTGTGTCTTTCTAAAGATTAATTATTTATTTTCTGAAGTGGGGCAATTATAGATTAGGGCTGTGAACCAAGGCCTGGGAGTCACAGAAATGTGGTTTTGAAACCCATATCCAGCTCCTAAAGTGCCATGCAATAAGCCATTTAACTTCTTTTGACCTCCATTATGGCATTCGTACAGAGAGGATAATGATACTTGTAGGGCAATTGTGAGTGATTGTAATCCCTAGTACCATCTCTGGCACAGGATAAGCATGGCATGCATGGTGTGTTATGGTGTGACATGGCATGATACAGTATGTTGTTACATGACATGGCATGGTGTGACTTGGTATGTGTGGTATGATATAATACAGTATGGTCTATCATTGAGTGCCTGGACAAGACAACGTTTTATAAACCAGGATCATACACCTTAGGAACCTGCACACAGGTACCTAACAGGTCACATGAGCACAACTGAGAAAAGGGCCAGGGCAGACAGTACAGATCCTAACACATTGTCTGTGCTGTTTGTGTTCTGCAGAAACATGGGCTGAGGCTTCATCTCCGGAACCCCTACTCCTTCACCCCCATGCTGGAAGAGGGCACAGGTGGCAAGGTGCCCAGGTCACTTCTGCTAGGCACAGACATGGCAGAAAACCAGGAGCAAATTGCCCAGTTCTCACAGAAGGATGCCCAGGTAGGGAAAGTGACTGTGGACTGAGCTCTTCCTCCCTCACCAGCCTGGAGGGGCTCTTGAAGGGAAATGGGCCTGGTGGGAACTGCAATGTCCACATTGCACAGGCCCAGTCCCTCCCTGGAGGGCTCCAACCTTCTCTAGCCTTTGACCATAGGCACTCTGAGGAAAAGGGATGGCAAGGGTGGTTAAGACCAGTGGACAATGGAGGCCCCAAGCCTGTGTGTGTTCACGTGAGGCCTCTGTCCAGAAGTCTCCACATGAGTTTCAAAAGGAATCTTCATTCTGCACTTGTACTGTGTGTCTTCTATCCCTCCTGCCTTCAGACAGAATCCCAAGTGGTCATCCACATGAAAGCCCAAAAGAGAGCAAAGTGCAGATCAAAGACAAGGACAGAATGAACTGGATCCAGAACTTAGGAGGAGAAAATATTCATTCATTGAATTTGGCATGTTCCCCTGACACCCAAGTCAAGAAAGTGTCGTGATAACATGCAGGCCTGAGAAAGGAAGAACACACATGCAGAGTGGAGAGTCCATGCTGTTTTCTTGGGACTGCAGTCCAGAAATTTGTTTCTGGGTAGCTTTGTCCGGATGAGACCCTGAGTGGTGAAGTAGGCCTGGTGTGGTGGGTTCTGTAGATATGGAAGGATTCTTTGAAAGACCATTTTTGTACCAAGCTTGAACAGCTGAAGAAACAGCATTGAATCATATCCTGGTGGAGACATTTTTACAAGAACTGAGATTAATGCATCTGTGCATGTTGTTTTACCTAACATTAGGCGAAACCAAGAGAACCACAGTCACATGCATTCGTCTCTTCACCTGGAACTTTACAAGCCTGTCTAGTGAGCAGTATCACCTGAGAGTTGAGGTTTTTCCAAATGATTCTCATAGATTGTCTTCTGTAGTGGTCTAGGGACCACTGCCTTCTCCCTCCCCACAATCCTGCCTGTCTCAGACACACCAGATGGGAGTCAGCTCAAAGCCAGAACCCTGCACCTATGAACAACAACCATAGTCCTGGGTCCATTGTAGAACCTAAGGAGCCTGATCTCTGGTTTTGTCTTTGCAGGTTGTCACTTTACAGGCCTGCTCTAGAGAAAGCTATTGAATTTTATTTTTACATAAGACTTCTCGAATGTCCTTTAACACAGAATTTTATGTAATACTTATTGTAATCTCCTAGATATATCTATGGGTGAAGCTGAGCCCAGATTAAATGCTGTGGGCTGAGAATGAAATGAGGGCCTCCAGTGGTGCAGGCTTCCATCCCTGACCCTGTTACCTGTCCCATGAAGGGATGGCAGGTATTAGAAACTGGCTGTGGAAAATTGGCTGTACTGTGGACACTGGCAGGGTGAGAGGATACAGATTTCTGTCACTGCATGTGACGAGGCCACACATCAGACAGATAGACCAAGAAAGAGCAGTCAGCATGCTGGGGCTTTAGGGAAGAGATATAATTTCTACCAGTCATATATAGAAGGACCCAGAGAGAAACTTGTAGGTAGATTTATCGCAGAGCCCACACCCTCAAATACTTGCCAATTTCCTGTGGCTGGTGTTGGCCTACATAGATTCCCTCGTCCCTGGTGGCTGTCCTGTTGCCCAGGACTCTCCCCATGCTCTCTTCCTGCTGCTGATGGAGACACACAAATGCTGAATGGGGAGGACTCAGAAGAGCTAAGCTGAACCAAGACCAGGGATGAGGCCTAAGGAACTATTAGGACTGCACTGTGGGGTATAGCAGCCATGGGGACAGCATTGGGGGTCAGGGGATGGGAACAGTGTCCTTGTGGGATTCTGGACAATGGGGCCTTGTGTTCCAGGCCTTCCCCAGGTATGAGGTGTTCATGAAACGCTTGGTGTTAGCCATCGACCCCCTGCTGGATGCAGCCCCAGTGGATATGGCAGCCTTCCAACGTGGCTCCCTACTGCAAAGACTCAAGCTGCTGTCCACCCTCAAGCCCCTGCTGAAGGCAGGTGAGTCCCAAGGGCAATTGTGAGAGCTCAAAGAGCAACCTTCAAAGAGGTGAACCATTTTCTCAATGCCTGAATCCAAGCCTAAAGCTCCAAGGCAGCTGCCAGATGTGGTCAGTTTATTAAATATGTTCCCTTCAGACTTCTGGGGCACTGCACTGAGAAGGTGGCCTGCCCTAAAAATAGAACCTGAGACAAAGACTTGTGGATAAGTAATTTATTTGAAAGGGTAAACCCAGAGAGCTTACCCATACTGTACATGCCTATAATCTGTTACTTGGGAGGTAGAGGTAGGAGGATCCAGGTCAAACACTGGCTCTGGGCAAAAACTCAAGACCCTATCTGAAAAAGTGAGCTAAAGCAGAAAGGGATGGGGGCATGGCTCAAGTGGAAAAGAAGAAGGAGGAAAAAGAGGAAGAGAAGGAGGAGAACAACCTCCAGGGCACCAAACTAGGGAAGCAGGGGAAAGGAGTTGAAAAATCAGATGGAGGAGAGCTAGTGCCGGGGTGTATGACTGCACTGGCCACCACTTGGGTGACAAGGTACCAGATCTTGCTTGGACTCTCTGAGAAGTCTTATGAAGTGCACTTAAGGACCATTCCCAGGAAAAGGAAGAGAGAGATTTATCCATTAGGCCCTGTCCCCTGCTGGTCAAGGGTTTCTCCATAGGGTATTAGCTCTCACACTAATGGGCCATGCATCTGTGAGTAACCTGTCATTGTGCCAGCAAAGGAAGGCCAGGGAAGAAAGGAAGAGGCACATTTTACAGGGCTAAAGTGTGACACTGTCAGAATTTTGTGTGGGAGACCTGCATTGAGCTCATCACCATGGCCACAGCTAAAACAAGATATAGAAAACAAGAGAATTTGAAGAACTACCTCCATACAAAGATGGTAGGTTTGGTCTCATCCAGGAAAAGTCCTGTGATCAATTAGTGATGTGTGCCATGGGCGTGAGAAGGGAAATTTCATGAAGCATGCTATTATTTTCTACCACCCTCGGGTGTACAGATCAATTTAGTTTCTAAATTCTAGAAAATTACTGAATCAGTTAGCTATGTTCATAAGAAAAAACACCACAAAACTCCATAGCATCTAAAAACGAACATTTATTTCCTATGAGTCTATGTGGTTCAACCAATCCAAGCTGGCTTGGCTGATCTGATCTGGCCTCCCATATACATTGTGGCTGGGGAGATGAGTAGGAGCAGCTCTACTCCAGGTGTCTCTCCTCCTCCTCTTGGGAGCAGTAGGCAGTCTAAACATGTGCTTCTAACATCAGTGGAGGAAGTCCAGAGGGCAGTCCTTCATGTCCAGGCCTATTACAAGCCTCTGTTTGTGTCACATTTGCAAACATTCTGTTGGCCAAACAAGTCACATGGATGAGCCTAGAGTCAAGGAGCAGAGCAGGTCAATCCAGCTACAGCGGGTGGGAAGCACTTCAGAGTTATCGGGCAAACAGTGTGAATATGGGGGAGGGTGAAAAATCAGAGCCAGTGGACTCCATCATGAACATCAAAAACAGACACTGCCTTTCAGATTATCAGTTCCAGGAGCTTTGTGCAATAAACATTCATATGAGAAACATTTACTGGGCAACTACTATTGCCAAATATCAAGGTACCCAGGGGCCCCAATGACCAGAGACCACGATCTCTGCCCTCTCAGTCTACTGCCCAGTTACCCTCTGCAGTGGTCTGCATCAGTGTCAAAGCAATGGACCCCTCCAGGAGGTGGACTTTACAGAGTTGAAAATAAGAGTGTAAAGTGCAAGTTAAAATTTTCCCAAAATCATGCTAATGGCAAAATAGAATCAGTGCCCATGAACTTGCAAATGCTGACATATCTCATTTAATCCTCAAAGGTTATTGTCTTGAGGGTATGAAAGATGTCTCCCATTTTACAAAGAACCAGGTTCAGAGGTGTTAAACATATGCCCAAAACCTAGGAAGGTGTGAGAATCATAGTTTGCCCCTGCCATGCCACACTAGAAGGTCCCCACCCCCTCCCACTCTTTCATCCCCAGGGACCACAACAGTGTATTTGCTCACAGCCTGTTTCCATTGATGCTTGTTGTTCTCTTGCAGGTCACACCCTCGGAGCCCAGCTTCCCCAGTACTACCAGGTCCTCACAGCCCCGATTACCAAAGTAAGTGATGCCCAGTCCCAGCCTAGGGTAACCTGGAACCTCTCCAGCCACCCAGGCCCCTGAGCCCTGCTCCTGTGGCCTTGTTTTCCAGGTGCTGGACCACTGGTTTGAGTCTGAGCCTCTAAAAGCCACTCTAGCAACAGATGCTGTGATTGGAGCTATGACAAGTCCCTTCACTCCAGGGAGTGGGTGAGTGAGGGCACCAAGGAGGGGCAGCTGGAGTGGGGCATATTCCCCAAGGAGAACAAAGACAGGAACCACAAAACTGTCATTTATTGAGCTCACCCAACGTGCTGAGTACCAAGCCAGCACGTGATACACAGTGAACTCACAGAGCCACATCTGAGAGCTAGAGTTCGGAGAAGAAAAGTGTCTAGCCCAAAGTTACACAGCTAGTAAATAGCAGAGTTTCCAGCCCAAGTTTTCTGAACCCTCCAAATCTTGCTTCTTAGCTAATACTCATGCTTCACTGTGAAAAACTCCCCACCATCCATGTCCTCTTTCCTCCCTCCTCTCCCCTCTCCCCTTCTGCCCTCCCATCAGAGTCCCACCCTTTCCCTCCCCTGTTCCTGCAAAGAACCCAGGTCTCTCCTGTCCCACTCTCCTTTTCCTGGGCCCCAGCACAGACTCATACAGATGCCTCCTATGGAAAGGAAGCTGCCTTTCTCTGTGGGCAGGCTGTGTGCTTACAACTCAATCCAAGAGGAACAGTCAGGCACAGTGAGGTCTATGAGCCACTTGTAGCAATGGAGGGGCGTGTGTGTGTGTTGGGATGGAAGGTACTGCCAGTGTACTTGGGAAATGCAGTAAGAAGCTGACAGTGTGACTCGTCTCTGAAGGGATGAGAGCTCCCCTTGGAAGTGGCTTTTCAGCACATATTGAGGGAACCCCGAATTCCCCAGGGCTGTGGAGAAGGGTTGGCTATGGTTCCTGCACCTTGGCCAAGCTCTGTGATCAACCAGCCAATCTGGATCTTCCAGCTGGGGCCCCAGTCCTTTTCTCTTTGGGTCTCTGGGAAGCCACACTACTGCTCAGTTTATGAAATGTGTCTTTAGGGAATTTGTTTCTTCACTCTTTCAACAACTACTGATGAACACTAGCCTGTGCTAGGTGCTTGGGATGCTGTACTGAATAGACCAGAAATCCTAGCAGGAAGGACAAAGCCGGAGCAAGTAGTGATATGGAAGTGCCAAGAATGTTATGATAGCAGGCCCAGTAGGGAAGCTTACACTGATCTAAAGAAGGCCTCAAAGGAAGAGATGCTTGATCTGAGACCTGAGGAAGAAGAGAAATTTGCTGAACAAAAAGATGAGGGAGAAAGAGGCTCCAGGCTGGCAGCACAGTGGGTGCAAAGGCTGGAATAGAGAGCACGGGTGAGTGTGCCATTCAAGAAACCAAAAGATGCTCAGTTCATTAGCAGTATGGCACATGAGGGGAGCATGGGATGAGGCTGACACTCTGGAGGTGGGACTCTGAGGCTACCTGATACTGATAAGACAGAGAGTAACACTGAACTGGTGAAGGCTTTGGAAGGAGGAAGGTGGCAGGAGCTTGCTGGGTTCTGAGATTCAGGCTCTGGGGCTCATGGAAGAACAATCACCTTTGGGTCAAGTGCAGAGAAGGTGGCTCTGGGGGAGAGGCCTCCTCTGGCAGTGTAAGGAAGAGAGAAGATGGGCAGCAGAAACAGTACAGCTGAGTATTCCTTAGAAGGTAGAGCGGACAGGCTAGATTGGACGTAGGTGGTCTAGGTCAAGGTTGATACCTGGGTTTCTATTGGAAACTTAAAATACCATTCAAGAGGATGGGGAAAGTTGAAGAAGAAACAGCTTGGTGAATGGTGAAAGGTGATGGGTGTAAGTTGTCTGTCAAAAAAAAGCCTCTAAATAGAGGTGCCTATGGGCAGCTGGACTGGAGCTCAGGAGAGCGCTCAGCAGGTGTGGGCATGGCCTCCACCGTGTTGGTAACAAACTCTGCACAGATATGTTTGCATAGGGAGAGTGTAGAATGAGAAGGCAAAGGGCTCTACAAGAGCCTTGAGCTCATATAAAGGCTTATGGAGAGGGCTGGATGGGGAAGGGAGAGGCTGGAGGCACAAGGCAGAGATGGAGTCCACCCCAACCAATCATGCTATGCTCTGCCCTCAGGTACGTGCTGCTGCATCATGTGATGGGGGGGCTGGAGGGGACTCAGGGTGCCTGGGGCTATGTCCAGGGTGGCATGGGTGCCCTGTCGGATGCCATCGCAAGCTCAGCCACTGCCCACGGAGCAAGTATCTTCACTGAAAAGGTGAGGACCCTTTCTCCCTACCCTGATTATTGGCTAAGATCCAGGATAGAATTTGGTGTCAGATTTGGGAGGTTCCATGTATAACTGATGAACAAGACAGGGCTTAGAATCCAGGGACAGCCTGTTGGTGGCTGAGCAATTATCAGCAAGGCCAGTTCTTCTGACCACCCCCTTTGAATTTGCCAGGTGCTAAGCTACATTTGAGCCGAGGCTTCAAGATAGAGGGGCTGGGACAAGGCTTCCCTGAGAAGCTGCAGAGTTTGGAGACTGGGTTTGGGATGAGGAAGTGGGGGTGGCTAGAAGCAGTGCAGACAGTGGGAGAGCCACCAGATTCAACATGGACTTTTCTTCCGGGGTATTCTGGGGCCTCTCACTGGTGGCTCCAGCCAGTGGCTAAGGTGCAGGTGAGCAGAGAAGGCCATGTTCAAGGAGTCGTGCTAGAAGATAGCCTGGAGGTCAGGAGCAGAGTGGTGCTGTCCAGTGCATCTCCACAGGTCACCTTCCTGAAGCTGGTACCACAGGTAAGCAGGGTATAGAGATGAGATGTCTGCCAAGACATGGGCTGAAAAATGGGGAGATCAGGGGTCAAGAAACTGTTGCTGTATTAATACCGCAAAACAAGCACAAAACTTCTGAATTTGGCTACTCTGGGCTTGCACTTCACCTAAGGTCAGCTGTGAGGCAGCAAAGGGGTTCTGCTGGTCTTGGCTGGGCATATTCGTGTGTCTGGGAGTTGGCCGGCTGTAGGTGGTCCAGGGCAGTTCCTGCTGGGAAGACCAGAGTGACTGGTCCCTATTCTATGTCCCTTTCAGCCTCCAGCACAGTGGTCCTGGCACATTCTCAGGGTCTGGCAGAGGGCAAAAGCCAGCAAGCCCAATCATGCAAGTCATATTGTTGGATCGGTTTGCATCGTATCTGCCAACATTGGCGAAAATAAGTCTGAAGGCCAAGCCAGAGGACAGAGTGGGAGAGCACTACAGAGGTGCTTGGAAAGGGGTATACACTCATGGAAGGCTGAGGATATGGGACAATTATTTCATTGACTACATCTTTCTGTTCCCAGATGATAAGATAATGTGTGTATAAGCACTGGCTCCCCTCCATTCTTGGGGGCAAAGCACCACTTTCCCTAAATGTTTCCACTAATGAAACTTAACACATATCAGTGCAAAGCATTAGATTCTGAGACAGTAAGATTCCCAAGAGCTTAGAAACCAGGAGAGAAACAAGGCATGTGAACTTCTGGCCCTGTCCCAAGCAGAATGAGCTGCAGGGTGCTTTACAGTCAGGACAGCTGCAGAGTACAGAGGAAAGAGTGGTTAGTCTGGAGTGGGAAGACTAGGAAGGCTTCCCAGCAGAGACAGTTTGGGCTGAGAATTTCTGGAGGCAGAAGTTAGAAGACCTGCCTAAGCAACTTCCTTGGGGCTTTAGCCACACTAGGCTTTCACAAAGGCTTCTCCTTCCAGGAATGGCTTCCAGAGGCCTTCGTGAAGAGAATCTCCCTGCTGGACACCCAGTCTCCTGTTACCAAGATCAATGGTATGAGGTGTCTGCTTGCAGAGCTGTGTCTGGGAAAACCCGCCCACACCATCCCCTCCATCACCTGGCCTCCAGCCTACCCCCCAGTGCTTTCAGACCCCTAGTCCACCATCTGAGTGAGTAGGGTGAGGATTATAGAGAGAGGACCATGGAGGGCTGGGACCTTACCCTTCCCTTTGGTCCCTCAGTGGCTGTGGACAGGCTCCCCAACTTCCTGGCAGCCCCCAATGCTCCCAGGGGCCAGCCACTGCCTCATCACCAGTGCTCCATCCACCTGAACTGCGAAGACACCTTCCTCCTCCATCAGGCCTTTGAAGACTCCGTGGGTGGCCTGCCGTCCCACAGGTGGGTGGATCCTGGGCTTTGTATCCCATGGATGTTCTGACGCAGGGGAAGTGGTGGCTGTCCAGACATAGCAGGGACCAGCATCTTCCACCTGGCGCTAAACCTTCATAGTGACCTGGAATCTGCCTAAATTCACACTTCTATTCCAAGAACAGGAAGTGCATCCCAGGTAAGAAATCTGTGGGCCAGGGAAGTCAGAGATGCAGAGGGGGGATGAACAGGAAGGGTCATGGATGAGAGGAAGGGCAGGCCCTGCAGAGGACAGCGCTGGTGTTGGAAGAAGAGTAGAAAATGCTATCTGGGAGAGAGAAGGTTCTCTAAGTCAGCAGCCACAGAGGGTGCATGCTCATGGAGCCCCAGTCCGTATTCTCTCTCATGTCTGACAAGCCCCTTCGTGCCTTCCCACCTCCTGCACAGCTGGGCCTCTGTCTTTTGAGAGCATGCAGAGCACAGTGGGGCCACCCCTTTCCATCCTGTCCATTATTCAACAGACACTGAAAACCTATCCAGCCAGGCTCTGCACTGGCCATGGATTGGGGAACGTGGGGTGTGAAACAGACACAAAGCTTATGATAAGTCAGGCACACAAACACTCATAGCATAAGGTAAAGAAGATGGCAGTCTAGAGAGAAGGGGACAGGGCAAAGTTTATTTAGCCATTTACAAATGTTTTGGGCCCTTACTCTGTGTCAGGATTGGTTCAGGGACCCAGTTACAGAGCGGCAAGCAAAGTCAGCAAGGCCTCTTCCACAGTCACTGACCTTCCTTTCTTAGGTGGGAGAGACAAGACAGTCAACAAGCAGGCCCTGCTGATAAGCACTAAGGAGAAAAATAAGGCAAGGACAGGAGTTTCTGTTTGAAAGAAGATCAGGAAAGTCCTCTCTGATAATGTTTCATTTGAGCAGAGAAGAGAAGGGAGCAAAAACACAGAGCTGGGGAATCTGGGAAAGAACATCCAGGCACAGGAAAGGTCAGGTGCAAAGGCCCTGGGGAAAGAGTGTTCTGTTGTATTGGAGGCAGAGGGACGAGGCCAGAATGGCTGAAGAAAGTGAGCCTGGAGTGAAGGTTCTAAGAACCACAGCAGCCAGATCCCGCTGGGTGCTTGGCCATTTGCCCTGGCCTGCGTGGGTTTGCTACGTGAGCCTGACTAAGAGCAATGGGGAATGAGAAATAAAACACACACACATATACAGACATAGAACATAAAACAGAACACTGGTGTCGGGAGGACTACATGTTCCTAGTGGAAAGACATGAGTGTCTACCTGAGTCAGAGTGTTTATTTTATTAGGTCAGTACAAGGAAAAGACTCAGGTAAAAATCAAACTTTAACAATTCTTGATGCAAGGTGAAAGGAATGAGGTTTGGTGGGCTAATTTTCCTAAGGCTAATGAAGCTTAATTACAACACATCAGTTCTGGAATCATCAAGGCACCCAGGACACCTTTCTAAAGTATTGATTAATCTGGCATCAGGGAGTCTCCTAACAGTTCTGGTACTTTATCTAGTTTTGCATCAAGGGGCTGGTATGCAGACACAGCAGGTTGTATTCTTCAAGGAGAAGTGAGAACAAAGGTCAAGACACCTAGGTATTGGGAAAATTATGGTAGAAGAGGCTGTGCAAACTTCTACATGGAGAGGCTGTGCAAACTCCATTATTCCCAGTCCAGGGTCATGCCTGGTCCCCAACAGCCACTGTTCCTGGCTTTCACTCCAGAGAAATTCTTGCAGGGCCTTATCCTTTAGAAAGACCTCCCTGGCCACTGTGGAGAAAAATTTGGGGCATCCGTTGCAATTGGATACTGAGGCAGAATCTATGGGAGAGAGGACCAGGTGGCTTAGACCAGAGTAGAGGCAGCAGAAGGGCATAATTCAAAGCTAAGGAGATTTGCTGTTGGACAGGAAGTGGAGTTGAGTGAAGGAGAGCAGTACGAGGAAAATGATGGATGCATTTGTTGAGAAGAGGAAGAAGCTTTGAGGGGAAAGTAAGTTTTAGAGAATATCAGGCGCTGAGATTTAGAGAACTGACATCCAAGTTCAGAGGGAAAGTTGCAACTGAGGGATGTAGGAGCAGGGGCATTTCACATGGCCTTGAAGGACACTCATATAGTTTAGGTATTTGTGGGGATTGGTCCTAGGACCCCTCAAACCCTGTGGTTACAAAAACCCACAGAGGCTCAAGTGCCTTAAAAACAGAATGGTATTTGCAAGTAACCTACACACATTCTTCCACATAGTTTAAATCATCTCTAGATAACTTATCACATCCAACACAATGTCAATGCTATGTAAATAATTGCCATGCTGTACTGTTCATAGAATAATTACAAGGAGAAAAGTCTGTACGTGTTCAGTACAGATGCTATTTCTGTACTGAACTTTGTAATATTTTCAGTCTGAGGTTGGTGAGTGCACAGAACCCCCAGACTTCGGAGGGCTGACTATCTGGAGATCAGAGGTAAAAAGGTGTTGGTTATAGACAAAGGTGGCAGAGGCTAGACACAGTGCACAGTTCTACTGGGTGTCAGGCATCTCTCTGTTGTTTGGTCTGCTCAGGAGAAGGTGCCCAGGCTTGGAGGGACAAGGTTGGTTGAAACCTGAGCACCTGAGTACCTGCTGTCCTAGGTTAAGTGTCTGGACCCTAGGGACTTTTGAGTTGGGAGACCTGTCTAGAACATGGGGAAAGAAGTGTGTAGGGAAGGACTGGACCAGAGAGGCTGAGGTTAGGGGTGAGGGGAACTGCTCAGGGTGGTCTGGACTGTCTTCAGGTGGTCTGCATGGAGGCTAAGCCCATGCAGGTAAATAATCACATGGCCTCACAGTGACAACTAGCCCAGTGTTGATGCCATCTCAGGGCCTTCCTTTCGTTCCAGGTCATCTCAGAGTGGCTCCCAGTCCCTTCCCTTCAGACCTGACCCTCTCTATTCCCTGTGTACCTCAGGCCTATGATTGAGCTCTGCATCCCTTCCTCACTGGACCCCACCCTGGCTCCCCCTGGCTGCCATGTGGTCTCCCTCTTCACTCAGTACACCCCCTACACGCTGGCAGGAGGCAAGGCCTGGGATGAGCAGGAGAGAAATGCCTATGCAGACAAAGGTAAAGAATGCTACACTGTCTGATCTCCAGGGTGACAGCTGGCCATGTGACCTGTGGGGGACCACCCCACATACACACAGGATGGGCACCCACAGGTGCTATCCCAAGGGGAAAGAAGTGCCCAAGGGAAACTTAGGTCAACAGGACAACTTCTGCTAGGATCAGGCACTGGGCTAAAGACCCCATTCCTATCCTCACGTTGTTCACAGTCTAAAGGGGGAAACCAGTCACTACCCCACGACATATTTTATGGAACCGAAGAAGGAAGCCATAAATCAGAGAGATAAGGAAGGCTTTCATAGGAAGTGGCATTTGAGTTGGGCTTTAAAGGATAAATAGGAGTTGGCCAGACAGCAAAGGGCATTCTAAGCAAAAGAAATAGCTTGAACAAAGCAATGAGGAGAAAAGGAGGAGACCAGTTGTTGTGTGTTTAAGATTGGCAAAGAGTGGGGCCTGGGCTGACCTAAGACCCACAGGCCTCTATGATGAATTGTTTATTTGAATGTGGACTGTTAGTTTTGTTTGTTTGTTTTTTATGTATTGAGTCATAATTTGCATAGGGTAAAATCAACCCTTTTAGGCATATACCCTAATGAATTCTGGTAAATTTACAAGTTGTACAACAATAACACCTCCTCTTCTTCCCAATACCATCTCCTTTCCCTGTCCGGGACACCCAGTGTTTGACTGCATCGAAGCCTATGCCCCCGGCTTCAAGGGCTCTGTAGTGGGCAGAGATATCCTCACACCACCTGACCTGGAGAGAATCTTTGGGCTTCCTGGAGGGGTGAGTATAGACTTGGGGTCACTCCTCACATTCTTCTTCACCCCCTTCCCTGGCTGAGCCTTCCAGCTTTACTTGGCTTTTGACAGTGGCAGAAACCAGAACTGAGAGGGGACAGAGCAGTGGTCAAATCCAGGGAACAGAAGAGGAGACGAGACATAGAAACCCAGACATAGAGACTCTGGGGGGCAGGGGATGGGGGGAGAAGGTCACCAGGCCTGTGGTATCTTCTCCATATCCCTCTTAGCCTCTCCCAAAGGGAGTGCTTTCCACCCACACTGCTCCTCACTTTATCAAACACAGGACACCAGAGGCCAGGCACCCAGTTAAGAGGCAGCTCCAGCCTAGCAGCTACCAGCCTCAGTGGCTACTGAGCCCTGACAAGGGAAGGGGGCAAGCATGGAACGAGTCACAGATGTGCAATTCACCACAGTGGGAAAAGGCCCAGAGACAAGTGTGACCCGTCACATTAGTAATTTTCTGTTGATTACATGTTGAGATTACTATCCCATGGGTCTAGTGGGTTATATAAAATATATTATTAACTTTAATTTTGCCAGTTTGCTTTTACTTGTTCAGTATACTGTAAAATTTTTAGTTTTTAGTAAACTTAAAATTGCCTGTGTAGCTCTGGTCATTTTTATTGGACAGGGCTGGTCCAGACAGAGAGAGGAAGGCCAGCAACAGGAAGGAAGAGGGTGGTGGGAGTAAGAAATCTTGGCGCAGAGTGCACATGAAGGCCAATGGAGGTGATGAACAGAATGAGCCCAGAGGTAGATGACAGGATTGCGGTGTCATCATGGAGCTAGGAGGGTGGAGAAGAACAGGTTTGGGGAAGAGGTGGCTCAGTTTGGGACCTGGTGAGGGGACAGATGGAGAGATGCTGTTCTCCTTGTCCAGGACACCCTCCCAGATCTGACCTTCCCTCATCCCACCCTGCCTCCTGGCTCAGCCTGGAGTGGTCTGACCTAGGCCCGTGGAGCAGAACCACACTCAGGTCTCTGCCATTGACAGAGTCCCACCATTGACCATGATCCCACTGGACCTTGGACTCCAGAGGCCACACTCAGGTGGACTGCTTGGCCAGTGCACACATTCCTGCAGACGTGTGCACAGGCAGCCAGAGCAAGGCCAACTCTCCTGCTTTTCAAACAGACTGAGAGGGCTACTCAGTCCACAGCAAAACCCCCACAATGCCCTCTTATCTTCCCTACTCTGTCTCCCTGCTGTCTGAAGATGCCCCATCCTTCTTTCTTTCTGAAAACTTCACCTCAACCCAGGACATGTTCCTATTCTTTCTCATCCTCTTCCTTTTCTGCATTTTAAGAACCCAAGAAAATAACCTGGAAGGAGAAGGGCCTCCTATAGAGACCAGGGAATGGGAAAAACCCTCCTAGGCAGTAAAGACTATAGCACTCCTATGTTGATGATTGTGACCCTGCCTCCCCAGAACATATTCCACTGTGCCATGTCTCTGGACCAGCTCTATTTTGCCCGCCCAGTGCCACTGCACTCCAGCTACCGCTGCCCTCTCCCAGGCCTGTACCTCTGTGGAAGTGGGGCCCATCCTGGTAAGTGACCCGTGGTTTTACTTCTTGCAGGGCTGTGAGGGCTTGGAGGAGGGTAGAGGTCTGGAGACAGAGGAGAAGGATACTCACTGGTCAGGGTGTGGACCTTCCTGCAATGAGCCATCCCTGAGCAGCCTTAGTGCACGGCAAGTGCAGGGCACCTCTGCCAGGCTCCAAAGCTTCAGCTTAGCAGACACCTCCTCTCCACTGGTGTGAGGACTACATCCTGCGGAGAGAGCTCTCTCAATTTCACTTTGGGGTTGGGGGAAATGCACATCCCTAAATCCACATGCACATTTGAGATCAGAAAGGATCAGTAAAGTTTCTCAACATTAAATGTCTTCCCTATGCTGACTCCAGGCCTAAGTGACCTCCCTGGGGCCACGTTTCCTATAGACACCCTCTCTGAGCTGTAGGCCTCCCCGTCTTCCTCACTAACCCTTACTCTTGCATTTCAGCTTCTCCTGCTGAGTGTCTTCCCTTGTAGTAGATGGGCTCGCAGATTGGGACTCTGAAGGCCAACGTGTACTGTGGCCTGCCGTCCCTCAGCTGTGGGTGGAATCCTGCAGAAGGCCCAGATCTCTTTGGCAGCTGTTCTAGTTGTAAGCTGCACTCCTGTCCCTTGCTGACCTGTTTCTGAGTAGAGTTTTGATTCTAGGAGGAGGTGTCATGGGTGCTGCTGGACGTAATGCAGCCCACGTGGTCTTTAGGGACCTCAAGAGCCTGTGAAGCTGGACCAACTCTGACTGAGGAAAGAGATCTCACCCCTGAGCTTCTAAGTCCCCCACAGGGTCAGCAGCCCAGGACGTTCTGCTGTGCTCCAAAGGATGCTGCTTGAGGCAACCATGTTCCAAGGCTCAAGCTATTATTTGAAGCAGGGTTCGAGTTACGTTTAGCACAAGTTAACCTGTGTCACAGGCCTCCATGAAGGACCCCGGGTTTGCTTTATTAAAAACAATGTTTTATATAGATAGTTTGCTTGTATTTTTTCTATGTATTAGTAGGACTGTATCATACTGGGGGGAGGAACTTATCTGGAATTGTCTATATTCTCATATCATCTTGGAGCAGTCCATATAATCAACAGAAGAGTCTGGTGCAAGCCCCCCCTTCTCATTGGCTGCCCTGCCCCCCACTACCAGCTGATTGGGCTGCCCTGCTGAGACCCAGCCAACTGTTGTAACATACTTGTCACTATAAGAATGACCCTACATTCCCAGTGACCCACAAAGTCACTAGTAGGATCATAGACCTGAACAAGGTTTGGCATCTCAAGCCATCAAAACCTCCAGTCAAGAGGCATGGTGATACATGCCTGTAATCCTAGCACTCGGGAAGGCAAAGTCAGAGGGATCACAAGTTCCATGCCAGCCTGGGCTATCTAAAAATACAAAACAAAACAAAAAAATCTCCAGTCAGGACACACCAGCAAAGTGGGCTGAAATGAGGCTGTTGAGAGCCACCTCCCGATTCCAGAGCATCCTGCATGCTACCACCCATGGGCTAAACCTGCTGAGACAGTGAAACCCGTCAGCATAAACCTCTGTTAATCTAAAGTGGGTTGGGTGGTCACAGAAATATTTTCTTGGCAATGCCACCTTCCCAACGAGCTTCTCCAAGCCAAGGCCACTGTGTGGAGTAGACCCCTCTGCAGATGAAGTAGGACCTTCCCTGGGCATCACCTCCTTTCTTTCCCCAGGCAAACTGACAAAGGGGAGCTATAGCCATGCTTGATGTTGATAAGCCTGGAGTTGTTTTAAAGATCAAATAACATAACAGGTCATGTTTCAGTCCAGCATCTGGAAGATAAGGAGCATCCAGCCCACAGTGGAGGTGTTGCTGCTGATCCCAATGGTGAAGGTGTGACCATCTTTGTATTCTGCAGAAGGCAGGCATTCCTCCCATCATTGAAACCTGCCCACCTGCAGCACTGTGCAAAACAGTGGGGCCACCAAGCTTTTTCCAAACCAGGGCCCTCCCCCCATTCCGCACAGATGCAACTGGCTTCCTGAGTTTTTGAAAATTGAGTTTTTCTCAGAAGACTTCCCAGGGCCAAAAGAAACAAATGCTTAGAAGGAAGGAGGGAGAAAGAGGGGTAGGAGCAAGGCAAAGAAGGAAGAGAGAAGAAAAAAGAGGAGGGAGGGAGGCAGGGAGAGAAGGCAAGCCTGAGGAATTCCAAGGTCCACAAGCTGACAAATATTGCTAATTAGATGTGTCTTCACATTCCAGCTTCACCTCATTCATATCGCCCTTGGCCTTGACAGCAGATGAGTCTCTGACCCTCCCCATAGAATTAGGTAGAAGTGAATAACAAATAGGAACTTGGGAAATCCGTAGGGGCTGGGAGAGCTCATATCAAACCAGGTCTTTAAAAAGGTTAGTGATTTTTTTTTTTTTTCTAATGAACAAATGTCACAAACACCTAATGTAGGAAATTTCTTAAATATAACAAGAAAGAGACATACAACTTACACCTGATCTTACCCACAGAGATAATCATGGTTACCATTTTACAATATTTTCAGTTAGTCTTTTGCATAGTTGGGCTATTCTATATGTGGGCTATACATCTGTCTTTCTTTTATTTTATTTCATGTCATAAACTCTTTAAGTCATAAAAATTCTTTGAAAACATTTTTTTTTTCTTTTTGGTGGTACTGGGGTTTGAACTCAGGGCCTCAGGATTGCTAGGCAGGTGCTCTACCACTTGAGCCACTCCACCAGCCCTCCTAATATTCTCTTATAACGATAAACCACAATTTATTACGGGACCTTGGGCCCTGCCTCAGCCTCGATTACTAATTAGCACACCCAGAGGCCTAACAGCCACTTTAGGACGATTGTCCCCCTCCCCCCATAAAGCCTCTCTGCCTATCTTGGAAGACAAGATGGAGCTGCTGTCAGGGCAAACATTCCTTCTAACAGAGGAGGAATGTGGAGGAGGCGGGGAGAGGAAGAGAGTAGGTTTAGCACTGGGAGGAAGAACTTCCCACTGTTCAGAGACTTCCCACAGGATGTCTCCATCTCTGAAAGGTAACATTTGGTCCAGATGGAGAGAGCAGATAAAGCCTCAGCACTATGGGGGGCCTGAGCCCCTACAAGGTCCCAGCTCATGCCAACCCACTGAGCAAGGCAGGTTAGTCTTACCCAAAGTGATGACTCCACAAATTGGCCATGAATCAGGCAAACAGGTCCCTCGCTGACTCCAACACAAAACTCTTACCAAGATAAACAAGTCAGGGCCCTGTCCTTAGCTGATTTACAGTCTCCGGTTTCCCCAGACGGGAGGAAACACTTCCTTGGAGGTGCAGTCCTGGAAGAGCCTCAAGTGTGCAGGAACTTCACCTGGCTAAGTCATTATGTCGTGCAGTGGCACTCCTGCCGTGAAGGCCCTGGGTGATGGTGACCAGTGGCTTAGTAACACTGAGGTTTGCAGTTCTACCAGGGATTTGGCTGTCCTAGTGGGGGAGTGAGGCTGAGCAGCTGTGGGCTTTCTGAGTTGCAAAGCAGTTGACAACTGTTGAGTTCCTCTGTGGGACATGGTACCTCTCTCACAATGAAGATTGGGATGCATAGTGACACCAACTGAGCACAGGATGGCATGGGGGGTGGGGGTAGAGCATGGAAAGTTATAAGAAACACAAATTTGAAAAAGAGAGAGAAAGAGAAATGCACATGAACAGTCTGAAAAAAATATTTAACCTCACACGGAATGCAAATACAACTTTGGTTATATTTGACCTATAAAACTGAGAAATAATAAACCGAGAAATAATAGAAAATTACCAGTGTGGGCAAAAAAAAAAAAAAAAAAGCACTCTTAGGTGGTGTTAATAGTGGCACAAGTTTGTATTTGGCAACTGGACTTAAAAGCCAGCAACCATGTGCTTTGATGGGCTATTCTGCATCTTACCACTTTGCCTAAAGAAAATACCAGTGATGGCCCCAAGAATTTAGATACAAGGATATGCATGCAGTGTTATTTGCAATGCCAAAGTTTTGGAAGCAGTCTAACTGCCCCAAAATAGAGAACTAGTTAAATTAATAATGATGTCTGAAGGTGATAGAATATCAAACAGCAACTTAAAAGTTAGATTTTTGAAAATGCTTTTTTAATCACATGGGAAAATGCTAATAAAAAGAAAGATGGAGTGGGATCTTATGTTATTGACTGACATGATAGAGATAGATGTCTCGTAACGTAATTTATATACATATAAAATATACATATCGAATACACAGAGGAAAAGACAGAAACAAGGAGCAAGCCTGACAAAGACAAAAAAAGAACAGAAACAGAGAAGAATCTGGGAGACAGCCAAGCACACCCAGTGTCAGCAGTAGCCTGAAGTCTTTCTGGCCACTTGGTGGAGTTTGGAAAATGGTCCTCACTACTCTCTTGGCTTAAAAACAAACCCAAAGTAAATGGATGGGGCTCCGACACTTTGTTTAAATGAGTATCTAGACATGTTCCAAATGATTTTTGTGAATTCTGCGTGCCTTGATGTCTATTTATTGGTCATAAACCAGAGGATTTCAGACAGGCCTTTGAGACCCTCAGTGGAGTGTGGAATCTTAATCACGGGAAGTTCCCATAACACCACAAAAGGGAAGCTGGCGGAGTTTGGATGTCAAGCAGGAATCCTGTGTTCACCTGCAGAGGTGAACCAACAAACAGACTCCTCTGGTTTTATTTGAATTTTATCAGCTCTTTAATGCAAGTTGTCAGATCAGCAGCTTTACAGCTGTTTAGATAGGTTTTTGACTAATAAGAGAATTGGAAGATGAATTAAATGATACTGAGCAAAGGGCATTTGCTTAGTATACAGACATCTTCCAAAACAGTGCTTCCCTTAAGAAAAAGTAGCAAAGGAGGCCTCAGTAGCAAGAAGAAGTTTGAGCCAGACCTCTCTTCGATCTTCTGAGCCATTTGGCTTTTCCTCCTGATGGATCTTTCAGGACCTCCAAAGAAAGTGTAGGTGGTTCAGATGTTGTTGTGTGGAAAGGGATGATGGTCCCTTCCTTGCAGAGGGGATGTGAGGGGATATGCCTAACATAACTCACCACAATGTGCATACCATATGACTATATGACCCAGCAGTTTCACTTCCAGACAGGTCTCCAGTGGAAATGCTATGTGTGTTCACCAGAAGACACATAGGGCTTGAGTATCCCTTTTGGGAAATGCACAGGACTAAAGTGTTTCAGATTTCAGAGTGTTTTGGATTTTGGAATATGTGTGTAGACTATACTGGCTGAGCATCCCTAATCTGAAAATCCAAATTTTCTCAAATCTGAAACCTTGAGCATCAGCACTCAAAAATGTTGGATTTCAAGCCAGGGATAGTGGTCTATGCCTATAATTCTAGCACTCTGGAGACTGAGACAGGAGGATCGCCTCAAGCCAACTGAGATACATAGAGAGTTCCAGGGTAGCCTGAGAAACATAGCATGATACCATGTCTCAAACAAACAAAAAACCAAAAAGAAAAAGGTTTCAGAGTACTTTAAATTTTAGCTCCTATAGTAGCACTATTTGTAACATCTCTAAGCTGGAAAACCACCCAAGTGCTCATCAACTGTAGAGTAGCTAAGTAAATTGTGGTGTATTTACATGGTAAAATAGCACTTGGCAATGAGAACAAACAATCTAGAACCACATGTAACCATACTACACTGAGTCAAAGAAGCCATACACAAAATAGTTCATTATAAAACAGACAAAGACAGGTTACAGAAATCTAATCTATTAGAAGTTCACCTTTGTGGGTGCTAGGGCCCAGGACACAGCCTGAGGAGAGCTTCTAGGTGCTGTGATGTCTGCAGTTTGGCCTGTGTGGTGGTTAACCAGGGTATGTTCAGTTTCTGAAAAAAATGATTGAGCTTTCTGTACAGGACATTGCAGCTTTGTGAATGTACATTACTCTTCAACA